AAAACACAACCATCTGTTAACATATTCACTATAGCGTAAAATGTTTTATCTGTATCAGTTTAAGTTGTGCTGAAAGGACACAAAGTAACAGGCCCGAAATAACTATTTTTCCAGATTAGAGGCTTTTTGTAGTTGTACACCGTTAGTTACATTTCACATGTATTATTTCAACTAGCATATAAATTAATTAAGCATTTTAAAACACGCTGATCTGCAATTTTAAATGGAACACACATCCATTCACCTACAGGCTTGCACTTGAGCTGTTTATCCAAGCTGAAATCAACGGTTTCCTCATCTTCCCTGGTATTTTGACATGAGCTATACCTGCTCAGGCTAAACACACTGTGCTAAGAAACAGGTGGGTTTTCTTGTATTTCCTCCCCCACCACTGCCCCCCATACAGGTAGACCCTCTCAGCCCAGGACAGTCATTTGTTCATTCTCTGGCACAGGTTTGTGAGCCCTTGATGTTGCTGGAGGACCAGACTGAGATTATTCCAGAAAAATCATAGAGAAGCTCCCACAAAGGTACTCTGTTGGCTCTGCCACAGGCAGATATGAATAGTTGGTGAGAGAACACCTAAACCAGTCCAGCTGTCTTTTGAGACTATCTGTCTACTGCATAACTTAAATCTACATATTTGTTTTTACCTGCTACAGGTATTCCTTAGACAGACATATTTTCCTTGTTTCACTACCCATAATTTTTTCCAATCTTACTCCCTCAAATTATTTCCACTAGAATCACTTGTATCTATCTAAAATACATCAAAAGTTACAGAATTTTATATTCAACAGAAATCATACAGTATTCAAAACTGCTTGCAAAGTTCTTAGTAAAGACACTTATTATTCTAAAATCCCATCAGCAAATGAAGAAACTTCTTTAACTGGGATAATCCAAGCTGCACAGCTTGGAAACTCTGAGTTCTTAAAGTACACTAAAACATAGAAACATCAACAAGATATAGAAGAAGAGTAAGTAAGAATCAAAGTTGCAAAAGTTTGATTTTTTTGCCAGTACAGCACAATTAGTTCTTCAAACTTCACATATTTCTGAAAACCTTCTGTGTTTTAACAAAAAAGAAAAAAACAAATATGGATTATGAAGCAAAGCTTTAAAGTACGTACTTTTAATGAGTTGGAAAACTCACGTGGGGGAGAATTTGATGACATTTTCTTAAGTTAGCTCAATATGAATATTGATGTTCATCTTACCTGGAAGCAGACTGCAGTTGCAAAACTCATCAGTTTACTATTTTAATTGGGAGAAAACAACACTTTGTTCTCCAGGTAATCCTCCAGTTCCGAACTGTTTATGCATCCCCATTGTATTTGTGTTTATTGTGTTCTCTGTTTGTGAAGTCCCAACCCAACACAGTGCAAGTTACCACAGCCAGTGGAACCATTCTCACTTGCCTCCCACAGGGAGTAACTGTACCGTAATACAACAGATTTCTCAATTTTTTTTTTCTTTTTCAGTTGTTTTCAAAGGGACAATATCACATCCAGCATTTGAATTCCTTTGCTGAAAATTCAAACTGTGAGCAGCTTAGGCCTGCATTCTCAGTAGACTTTTTTCATGGCTATGTTTGTGACTTAAATGTTTAAACACGCATAGAAACCATTAAGAATATGTAAATGTTTCAGGATCCAGATGTTTGTTCTTTTTGCTCTGTGACTCAGACCGCAAATAATAAACACAACTCAATCTGTTCCAACCTTTATCTTCAAAAACAAACAAGCAAGCCAACTCAGGAAAATTTACATGATCAGCTCTCCTTTCAATTTACATTTATTATCCCAACTTCCTTGCTAAGACTTCATCTGAACATAATGTGTTACTCAAAATTATTTAAAGCAAATGACATCCAAGTCTGAGACATCCACGATACCCATTTCCCATCCTGATTCTGCATGTAGCTTTACTTCTCCTTCCTCTTTTTTAGAGCCCAAACCTTTAAGAATTACATTTCAGTATTCCAATGACTGCAATGACCTATCTTCACAGGATATTAGAAGGAACATGTAGAAACCCTGTCTGAAAGAACAGCAACTTATAACTGTCCTATGTTTTCCCAGATCTTTATGGTAATCCATTAGAGAAACCACCTCCAGCAGGAACATAAGGCATGACTAATCACTGCTTGAATTTAACTGAGCTAATATCTACTTGTAATATAGGAAATGAAGGCAAAAAGCAATGCAATGAATCTGATAAACTGGCTGCTGTGGAAATAATTTTCTTCCCAAATTCTTACATTCTGATGGCTTCATGTAATATAAATAAATTCTATCTGTTTACAAAGATAGCAACCCCATCTCTGCTGGAAACAGAACTAGTCATATCATAAGTAAAATATTCATTTAAATACATTGCACTGAGATTCTTAATACATGGGATATCTTCGCTTAAAACATTTAAAGATGGCTTAGAAGCAAAACTGATGAACAAACTTGGGGTAAATATTTTCCTCCCCCCTACCTGGAGCAAAATTTTTCAGTCATATCGGGGATAAAAAACATATCTTCTGTTTACATGTAAAAAAACTAGGTTTCATCCATAATATATACTGTATGTTTCAATAACTTATATTTTCAGTATGAAATAGCATCTTCAAAAAGATGACAAGTAACAGTCACCTTGCAATGATTCTCTGAAAATAAATATTACCTATACAAAATGCAGGAATAACATACAGGTCTATTAAGCTTATAATTTGTGCAAATTTTTTTAAGTGACCATCTGTATAATTAAAATGTAAAAACTACAAGACTGTAGACTGAAAAATATTTTTATATATTAAAAAAGTAAAATGTAAATGAGGTGTAATGTACAAATAAAAGAAATAATAAACAAAAAATCTGTCTAGATGAAGGAAACCATGTTCATAAGATTCTATGCAATTTTTTAAAAATTTGTCTAATATACCTATATTCAAAGCATGTTCTCAAATGCCAAGTCAGATTTAGTAACAAGACTATATAAAGAAACATCATTTGGACACAAAAAACATGAATATTAAGATAATTTTTTTTAAATCAATGCTGTATGAATCACATTTATAATTTTTCTTATAGCATGTGATCAAATAAAACAGAAAAACCAGAATGTATACATTGCTAATCTTTTAAGTAATGTTATGTACATTTTATTGCCAGTATATGCACAATGGTAAGCATAGAACTATAAATACACAATGTAATTAAACAGTAGAAAACAACAAAGGATGTTACACGTAACAAAGAAAAGAAGGTTGAGATACTATTTTCTTGATGTAGCTGCTAAAAAGGGCTAGCGACGAGTTATGACAGTCTTGGGTTTAAGTCTTTACATAAATTTCTACAACTTTTCCTCCAAATGAATCTCTGCAATGGCATTGCTTCTTTAATAACCACATCTTAGCTCTTTCTATCGCATTCACTTCAAACTAAAGTAAAAACAACCTTTCATGTTAACTACAAGCATCTGACTTAATTTTTTATTCAGTTTTGTTTTTCAAGGTTCCTAGCAGGTAAAGTGTGTCAATAGTTTCTTATGATATTTGGCTGCAATGTTGAAGAATAGAGTTTTGAATACACATTAAGTGATAATTTGGAAAAAAAAAATAAAGATTTTTCTGTAGATAGTTCTTCTACTGGGTGCTATATGCAGCAGCTCAGTCAAAAATTAGTCACCCTGAAGAGGTAGAGAGAATTTTAGCCTAGCATAGATCATCATCCTTGGCACCACTATTTTCTCTCTTATCAGGATACACTTCCTACAACTAGACAACATCACAGTCAAAGAGAAAAAAAAAGTAAAAAAAAAGTTCCACTCTTCCTGGGAAGGGTACTGTTTCGTCCCATTTCTCACTTAATTAGCTTGCTGCTTATATTAAAAAAAAAAAAAAAAAAGGAAAAAAAAAAAGGAAAAAAAGTAAAAGACAACATTTAGGGACACATTTACTTATCTTTGTTCTCTTTCCATTATCAACTTCATAAATACAAAGAACCATTATTCACAATATACTAACTCTTTTTCAAAAATGGAAAAACAAACCCTTGAAACATTTCCACACCTTAATCCAGATGGGTCTTGAGGATGCTATTCAAGAAAACCATGCAAATAATTTGGTGCAGCTTTTCCTACTCATCCAAAATATATATTTTTCTTTAAATTAAAAGGTGGCGAGATCCATAGCATTTGTGACTATTCCCCCCTCCCCCCATTTAAATTCAATGCAGAAAATCTTGGTGCTTTTAGGAAGGTAAGGGATAAATAGTTTTCTGCACTGTTGTCGTAAGATCCCATGTGAGTTACAATACAAGACTACTTGTTCCAGCAATTAGGTTGAGAGGAAACATTCTAGTGATAAAGATAAATACATACTGAGCATGCTTGGGCAGAGCACTCCATTCTGAAGCATCCTGCTTGAAGAACGAAAGGTGAGAAGGATGGTTCACGTCCATCAAGTGACCATGAACTCTGCTGCTCACCAGCAGGCTGCCACACTATCACCAGGTCGGCAGTGCTGCCCTGGCAGGGCTGTCTCCCACATTAAGAGGTACTGGTTGTACCAGTCCTCTGCTGCGCACACTAAATTCTTATTTATGCAACAAACATACAACCAATGAACAATATCACTGTGACAGAGCTGGATCAATCCAGCTTTCTTTTTATAGGCATATTTCTCAATCTCCAGAATATCCCAAACAAGCTGTAAATAAGATGATGAACCACCAACACAGTGAACGAGTCTCACTGCAGTTCAGACTAGTTCAGCCTTGTTTCACATCACTTCTTGTTTCTAGCGAAGGACATGATACTCAAACTAAACAGCAATAAAAAAGTAATGTTATCTGCAGCTGAAGAAAAGCAACAGAATTTATATTTTAACTTCTGAAGCTTAAAGCATACCTTTTTAATTAGCGTTAAAAAAATCTTTTTTTAATACAGTAACACTGGCAGAAGTTAATGGGAAGACACAGAGGATTATGAACGGGGTAACTGATGGGTAAGATTATTTTGAAATTTTATTCTGCTTTGATCAACTGATGTTAATACTGCTTTTCCTTAGATTTGGAATAATTCTATTGCATCAGTCTCATGCAGGCTGAGGACAGCCATTGGTTAAAGAAAAAAAAAACCAACAAAACCCCAAACAATAAAAACAAAACAAAAGAAAGGGGAAAAAAAACCCCAAAACAAGAATAAAGTTCCAGAAGTTGCATGTAAGGATTTTCCTTTCACTGAAGAGGGCCTTGCCCTTGCTTTAGGAGACCTGGTTAACTCTTGTCAGCTTCATTAGCTTTGTCCAGACATATCTGCTGCTGTATCCCCTGCTCCAGAGCCTGTTTGTGCACGTTTGATGTAAAGGTTCAATAATTTCATCTGCAAATTTAAGGCAGAAAGTAACTCTGTTTAGTATTTGCAAACAGTACAGACTGACTATAGGAATGGTACAAGAAAACAGACATTAATCCCTTTTCCCTAAAAACAAAATTTTACTTTACACAGTTATTCAAAAGGAACATACATGCCAATGTAAACATCAAACACAAGTAGAATTTGTCACTAGGAAACTGCTCAAGCTTCTTTAGGGATGTGAAGAAGAAAATGATGTAAACTAGGTAGATTAAGAAAGATGGAATATTTTCCTCCAGTTAAAATGTGTTTCTAAATATCATAGTGGTTTGGGTTTCTTTTTCTTCTAAGTTAATCTGAGGTTCAAGCTTCTAGTCAGAGTTGCTAATGCTGGTATTTACTAAAGCTTCCAATATTGTCTGGAGTCATTTTAAATACGATCACAGAGACCGTCTGAAAGATAGAACTGTCTTATTCACAGACACACAAAATTATTTGTCCTACTTGACTGCCAAGGACAAAGAGATTCATAATTAACGTATAGCTGTTCATACTAAAAAACTGCATGAAAAAGAGGCCAATAAAACCATAAATATCTTGAGACAAAAGGGACCACAGACTAGTTCTTATTATTTCAAATTAGAGGTACTGAAAAGACCTGTGAAAGCAAAGTAACAAGGAGGAAGAATAAATGAAACTGCTGTATGTAACATGGACCTACTATGTTCCTTGTTTTTCAGTCAGAACTTGCATGAAAACAAAGACAAGAAACACTGATAGGAAAAGCCTGCTGAATACAGCCATTATCACTACAACCAGCATACAAAGAACTGAATGCATTAAAAAGCAGTAAGAAACACAGTTTAGTAATTATCTTAATGCTGAAGTTTGTACACTTGCATAAAAATCTGTGGAATTTCAGTTTTGAGTATTTTACAGTGAAGTCGTATTAATACAACTGATTCAAGTATATACTTCATTGAAACTTTCTGGCAGAGGCAAACCAAAATGCAAATGCATAGATGCAATTATGAGCCAAGATTTGTTTAAGTGGTATCTTGTACTTACTTTACTGCCAGTGAGTTGACTGAGATGTGGTTTTAGTTCATCACCAATTACTGCATGAATGGCTACAAGGCAGAAAACACATGCCTTACGAACGCTGCTCTCTGAATTATCATAACCCTAGAAAGCAATAAAATTAACATTAATACCTTATCAGTTAATGATTAAAAGACCCAGAAAACTATTTATTTATTTACTGTAATAAATACATATGGTAAATTAATGCCAATGCAGCCCAATGAAGCATTCCAACAAAAAAAAAAAGCCACACAAATACAGAACATGCAGTTAAAAAGCAGGCTGCATATTAATCACCATTTTTCAGGCTGAATTTAAAAGCCACACAGTCCTGTTCATAAGCTACACTGAAAACAGAGCTGCTGCCATGCAATAGGTGAGTACGTAAGAGAACTTTTCTAGGTTATACAGGTATTTACTTAAAGCAAAAGACCGCTCACAACTTAGAGCTTCCTGACTGTGAATAAAAGAATCCTCTCAACAGCTAAAGACTCTTTTGTTAACCCCCAAATCATTTTTCAATGATTTTTCTTCTACCATTTTTTTATCACCCCATGTCTGGCTGTCTCACTCATACCCTCCTCAGAGGGCCCTTCTCTGCCTCTGTTTTTCTGCAGATGTATGACTGAATCACACCCAATAAAGACAGAAATCTGCAGAATGCAGCTGCCAACTCCAAGGAGTCATGATCCATGAAGGAAATTAATGTATTTTGTCTCTTGGTATGTATGATAAGGTGGTAAAAAAAAATCAGTTTTAAAGACAAAGGAAGAGAAAACTTGGATATCCTGATATCCTTCTAATTTTACTGAACTTTATAAAACTGCTTCTTTCCTCTTGCCTCCCAAAAGCCCCAGCTGACAAAGCTCTACAATTATATGCAAATAAAATATGGACTGCTTCACACCCAATTATGTAACTTGGAAAAAGTACAAACAACAAAGAAATTACCTTAGAACTAAAAGTTACTGCCAATCCTACCCATAACCTGGACTTTATATTCTAGTGAGATTTCCTGAGTTACAATTTAGCTCCCTGCTAATCAAAGAGATTGTTCCCACTATCCAAGGTATTTTGGGTCAAGGCAGCCACCAACTATCAGACAAGTGAAATACTTCATGAGAACAAAGTGGTACTATTTTTAAAAAGTCTTTGCAATTTGTATGTATAGTTTCTTTTTGTTAGTCCGTTTGGTCTTTCCGCCCCCCTCCCCCCATCTTCTTCTCTCTTCTCTCCTTACCTGTATTAGACCTGGCACAATCTCTGGTAAAAGCTGAGTAAGGGTTTCTTTAGATACTCTTTCTATAACTTTTGTCTGCATTTTGATTGCAGCCAGATTAATGGGGTAATCTGCAGTTTGGATAATTGGACAGAGAACTTTGATGCACTGATCTGGGCTAATGGAAGTGGCCAGCATGGAAGCAGCTTCTTCAGCAGATCTCACCACCTATTGAAAGAAAAAGACACAGAAAAGTGATTTATATGAGACTCTTACTGTGTGGTCCATTTTCTGGTAGTAATGGTCTTGAGCATGTAAGTTTCCTATCATTTAATATGATCTGAAATTTCTGTATTCTGCATACCCTCCATCTACATATTGAAATATCACCACCTCTGTAAACCTGTAATTTCTTGTGCTGTCATTATTATTGCTTGTTAGGTCAGTGTTCACTGACAAAAAATATTTTCACATTCATTTTAAAAGCGTGTTTAATAGCATGCCTAGATTGCTAACTGTAGCCAATCTAGCTGTTTTTCTTCCCCTGTAATTCTGAAAGAAGCTATGAGAAAAGAGTACTTTAAGCCTGAAGAATATGCAGAATGTAGAGAACAAGAGTAATTAGGTAGGACATCAACGGGTAGAGAAGCTCAAAACACAACAAGGGCATTACAGAGAAAATCAACATCTAATCTTCACATTAGTGCTGTGGTGGCATCTGACATCTAAAAAGAGAAATCACTTTACAGAATGAGTGGTTGTACACTAGTGATGTACAAAATCCTCCAGAACTTTCTCTCCATCCTTGTCTCCTTTACTCTCTCATTCCTAACACACAAAACCATAAGAAAGAAAAAACCAGAGGAACAGAGAAGGGACGATGGGGAAATGACACTGCAATCGACACAGTGTATGAAACAACACTAGAGAGCACAGGGGAAAAGAGAAACAAGCACCAAATGAGTGATAAAGTCACATGATAGGAGGAATCAAAGTCAACTTAAAAACCTGAAACTCCACAGTAAATTCCACAAAGTGCCCTTGCATGGGGAAGATGCACTCATTTAGAAATAAACATGGATTCTTTCCACAGAATCAGTGACACTGATGTCAGAAGTTGAATAATGGATTTGTTGCTGCATCTGTTTCCTATATTTACATGCATTGTCCTTTATTGTGCATGCAGGCATCACAAATAACTCTGAGCAAGCTTACATTTACATACCTTCTCCTGAATCCCCTCACTATTCCTGGCACAAGCACCGCCCCACTGACATATTCCCATGCATTTTCCCTTAACACAGTTCAAAGCCATGCCCTCAAAATGGAGCATAATGGAAAGGGCTGACAATTCCTGGTCTTGTTTAGTCCCATCTCTCAAACATAAAACTCAGTGAAACCCCAAACTTGTTTTAGATCTCTAGGACACTTCTATTTGGCTTAAGATGTCAAACAAGGGAAAAGCACCTTTCAGTTATTCCTTGAAGAGCCATGGTGACACACTGCTAGTTACACTGTCCTGTGGGATGGTACCCAAGGCAATTGCTATTAGGGATGATATTACTCATTCCAGAGCTTTTAGAACTGCAGAGGTTTTTTTTCTTGCATATGCATGTTAACTAATAACATCACTGTTATTTAACATGTGCTTATTAAAAAAATTACTTCCTCAGTAAGAACTGGTTATTTCACATTTTATGGACATCTCTTTCATTTTGTAATGATTTGTCATAACCTTAAACAAATAAAATAACTGATTACTGACCTCCTTATGAGGATCTTTATGCGCTTCTAATGTCTTCATGATTGTGAGCTCTGCATAATTCTTAAACCTTGCTGGCTGGTTTCTTAGAATTTCTCTCAGAACTTTCAGTGCCAAAGCTCTAATTGCATGCTAAAGATTCAATATTAAAATAAATGAGTTATGCATCTTTAAACAGACATATGCTTTTAACATTTGTTCAGCTGACAGAGAAGTTTTTAATAATGGAAAAATATCAGATTATGCTTTGCACAAATACACAGTCTGAATCTAGTGTTAACAAATAAAAGTAGGGAAAAAAAAAATCTCTTCAATCACTCTTTTTGCAGAAAATGCAGGTGACATATCATAAACACACTGCTTATACAGTTATGTGTATACATAATTTGACTTATCTATGTTATCCAGAAGTTAAGTTGCAAACACAAGGACTGATAAAACCATTATGCAAATACATTATTTTACTACTTCTTTTTAAAATTATTTTAAAAATCTAATGCAAGTTTGATTTTTGATCCTCAGTAACTTCAGAAACATGGCCTTTCAAAGAACTATTACATAGAACTCAGTTTCTTCACAATGATTAATTACTGTATTTTAGAAATAAATTTTTAAATGCTTTGTCACACATGATGTATTGATATTCTAGATTCATTTAGGGCCTAGAAACAGATAAACTTTGAATCTCAGTGCAAAAATGTTTCATTCAATCTGTTGTGTCAGAATCCACAAACAGGAAGCCTGGAGAAGCTAAGTATCACTGATGCCCTTTTCACTATCACAGCAAATGGACTTCATGGCATTTTATTTCCTTCTTTTTTTTTTGTTTTTCCATCAGTAACTGGAATTTGTGCTCTTTCTACAACTTGTACAAATGTCAAAGGTACTAAAAGTAAGCCATGTACTTTGTCAGCATTCTTAACTGTATGTTTCTGAATTTACCTCTTTATCTCCAAGTGTTTCAAGCAGCAGAAGTAGTATTGTTTTGAAGTGCTCATCCCAAACACCAAAAGACTCTTCCTGAGTTAACTTCATGAGCTCATACAGGGCAGCCTTTCTTTCTTCAACTCTTTCATTATGGTTTGATAACTCTTTTAGTAGCTCTGCAACCAGATCAGAATGGTCCATGGGGGGCTCTGTCAAAAATGGAACGCACAAACACAGTTATTGCAAATAAATATTAGTGCCTGTTGTACAAGTAAATAATATTTTCTACTATGACTTGCTTGCCTTTGAGCATGCTTTTGTTTTCTTCACCACATTTGCCTGCAAGAATTGCAGTTTGGCTACTACATTTTCAGTGCAGCCAACACTGCTGAACAAGCTTACAATCTCCCCCAAACCGCTACAATGATACAGCAAAAACCCCCTTGCAGGCTTGTTTACTGCAGGAGTTTTTAGGCTTGCAGTACCCATAAGTTTTCTACATCATTTTAAATCTGATCTGTACATGAAGGGCCTTCTTTCCCATATGACCCTTCCATTCAAGATGAAAAATTTTCTTTTCTGTAAGTATTACATAATTGTTTAGATTTTTGTAAGCCATGATTCCACAACAATAGCTAGGTTGCTAAAACAAGCAGAGAAAAAAAAAATGTAACAATGGTTCTTGGTACAAAAGAGATGAACTAAAGGCAAACCAGGGCTATTAGTCCCACAGATCCTGAAAACAATTCATTAAAAGATGGCTCTTGACCTAAAGGCAAACCAGGGCTATTAGTCCCACAGATCCTGAAAACAATTCATTAAAAGATGGCTCTTGACTTTAGTTTTGATTAGAAAGGATTCCATGGTAATGGAAAAACATGTTAGCAACACATATTTGTATATATGTATATTTGTATTTTATAGCAACCTATATTTGTAAATAGGACTTCAAACAGAGTGATCTGAAAACAGTCAAGGAACTTAAAAATGGTCTTAATGAAAACTTGAGTATCAACTTAGTACCTTTATTCCATCATCAAGACCCATTTAGCCTTTAAGAAAGGAAAGCATATAGCTTCCATCTTTGCACTGACACTTTTGGATAAATTAACAGAAACATGCCTTTTCCTAAGGCAAAAAATTGGAAGTTCTGTCATACAATGCAGATGCATTGCAGCTTTCCTGAAATGGCTGCATGTATTAACTAAAACATAAAATATAGCTTCCATGATAAATTAATTGTATCTTACACTGAGAAACCACAGCCCTGAACATTTTGTATTACTACATTCAGTACTATAACTTAAAAAAGCTGTACAAAACACTTGTACAAAGAAAACAGTAAAAGCTGAATACCACAGAAATAAATATCTTAGCATCACTCATCAGCTACTGTAAAAATCATTCTGGTTTTGAAGCCCACATTCCTATTTGCATTCTGTTTTGCATGAATAAACAGGAGCACCAGCACCTGAAAGCAAACTAAACACTTCTGCTGCCTCTGTATTAATGAATGATTAAGATTTGACTAAAGGTCAGACTGAAATTGCATTAGGTGAGTTATTATTTAAAGCAGATGAGCAGAATGGACAATCATTTTTATGGAAGCAAGATCATTACTTTTATTGGCAGCACTATTACACTTTTCTACCAAACCGTAAGGATTATAGCTATAACAAATCCTATTTCAGGGAATACATATTGACACTTCATTAGGAAAGCTACTCATATCTGCTTAAATAAAGTATTTTCATTGTGGTGTCTTAAATGTATGGATGGAAGGGTTAAAGAGAGGGGAAGGTAATAGCCATGCCCATGCAGAAAAAGGGGGGAGAAAAAAGCTCCAGTAGTGGACTACATAACTGAAAAACTTGAAGATAACCAAGAGGGATGTGCCTTTTCAATTTGTCTTTTCCATTCCTTTCTAAAAATTAGCACCCAGTGTTTCATTTCCAAACATTCTCCAGATAAGAATGAAGAAGCATAAAATAAGTCATGTTCAAAGACTACTCCAAAATTTCTTTTTCAGAAAGGAAACAAAACACAAATGAAGAGGAGCAGATGCAATGCCTTCATTTGAATGGATTAAAATATGCCTTAGAGAGATAAATAATTGATGAAGAACAGGTCTTCTCAAACCACAGGATAAACAGTGTAGGGGTTAAAAGGGAACATGTAGGTATGTCCTGAATTTAGGAAAGCATTTCCTACTTTCACTCACTGCATCCTAATATAAAAGTTATGGAAACATGATAGCCAAAAAAGCAAACAAAGCAAGTGTAAAACTTGATGAATCACTTGCAGGATGACTGGATTATAACTGGCTTTCTATTAATCCAGGAGGATATGAGTAGTGTCCTTGCTTGGATGTGTGCAGAGCCTAGCTCTGTTGGATGCATTTATTAGTGCTATCTAAGGAATGTGGAGTGAACTCAGAAAATCTGTAAATGACATCACTTTGCGAGCAATCACAAACATTCTGGAGAACAGAGTAAGAACTAGAAATTATCATGTCAAATCAAAGGAATGACCTGAAAGAAAAAAGATGCCAAGTGTAAGGCAAGACCCAGAAGCAGAAATCTTAAGCCCATATACAAAGTGGCAGGCAAAAAGGAAGATGTTTGGAAAGTGCAATCCACAGAAATAAGATGAAATAAATAAGCTTCTTTGTAGAACACTGTTTTTGAAACAGAAACTGAACTGCTTTTAAGGAGTCTTGAAGTGACTTAAAGAGCCAGGTTTCCCTATGCTTCAGATAAAGGGCATTTCCCTTGGAGAAAAAACTGAAGTGCAAATGGTTGGAAGATTTAGGCTGTTACTCTGAAAACCTTTTTAGTGGAAGAGGCAAAACACTCAAAAGTGAGTCATGTGAGACACACTGTGGCATCTCCAGAACTGCCAGACAAACCATCTGTAGAATATATGTTCCTGCCCCAGTGCTGTTGACAGGATGGCATGAGCAGTTAACGTTTTCCCATCTAGCCTTGTATTTCCACATCTTTCTGTCAGTAATGTCAGGACAGCTGGGAATCCAGTACAAACAGAATTTTGTGTCAGGAACAAGCAGCAATTCTCTGGAGTTTCCAAAAACTGTTATCTAATGTCAAATGAGCCCTTCAGATTTATGGGGAAGGTGTGTAACTCGCAACAGAGGAGTTGGAGACACAAGGTGTTTTGCCAAGTGTACCTTTTCTCTTGCACTTTTTGTAAATAATCCCAGATGAAATTCTAAAAATAACAGAACATACATGATATAACTAAATACTAAGTGTGAACAACACAGGAATGAAAGCAAGTACTTCATCAAGATGCATTAAAGAGCAGACCTAAATAATGCATTGCACCACTCTTCCAACCAGGACAAACTAATACAAGATAGGGATGCTTCACTCCAGCCAGTTGTGAGTTGTTACAAAACTGGATCATGCTGGCACAGCACATACTGCATCTCATTTAATGAAATACCCAAAAATAAGTTGTCAGAAGGTAGAAGGAGGCTTCTCCCATGTAAAACAAGATCCCTTAATACGGAATCTTGAACATACCTCTGTATGTAGATGGAAAAGCTATTTAATTATGTACATGACATGATTTGTAAAACTGTGCTTTCTTCTCCATTTATTTCAGAAGAAAACATTTGGGTACACTATATGCTTCTTCATAGATATGTAAGAAAAATGCATCATACTTGGATTTAGTTTTGATTTAATGCAAACTTAAAGCAAACTTACTGAAAAGGTGAATAAAACACCATGTCAAAAAACCCCTGTTTTTCAACAGTTTCTGTAACACATCTTTTGCAGAATGACAAAAACAAAACAGGTAGAAGGGAAATAATTAGTTTGTCCCTTGCTATTAAGAAAGCGTTTACTTAAAAACTTAATCTACAGCTGAACAACAGGAATACTAGATTATAAAAACCACTAACTATTTATTAAAATAATGATAGTAGTGATACTTAGGAACCTTCTTAACATATATAATTTGTTAATATATAGAAAATTACCCAAAGATATATAGAGAAATATCATGAAGAAGCTCTGGAAGCCTACAAGACATCAACACATGTTCCTAGATTTACATGGGCTAGATGAACCACCTTCCCAGTAAAAAGCTGGTTTGTTTTGTTTCATTTAAGAAGAATGTTTAGTCAACAGAAAATGCCAATGTCATGTTTCAAATACAAATATATTACTAACAAAATACTTAATCTTTCACCTAATTCCCAAACTGGTTTGATCCAGTTTTACTTCCTTGTTGTAAATCTTCTCTCCACCCTCCCGCTTTAAACTGCAATCATAAAACAATCTGATAAGTAAATTTATATTATACAATACAAATATAGGATGTGCTACCAGAAGTATACAACACAGCATTTCCTTCATTTTTACCCTTATTATTATTACCCTTATTTACCCTTATTATTATTATTTCATTTCTACCCTTAGTCTCTACAAATTACAAATCTCTACAAATTACCAGGTAATTACCAGGTAATCCAACTCAAAGAGATGACTTAACAAATAAACTAATTCAAAATATAGCATTTGCAAAAACTTCTCAAAGAAGTGATACATATATTCCCAGTAATAACTTCAGAAATTAAACTCCAAGATAGAAAATCTCATAATTTGTTTTCTAGCACAGAATGTAAACTGAATCTCACCATCAGGAAACTGCTCTGCATCATCATCAAACATGGCTTCTTTCAAAGCAGATTTATTAAATGGACTAATACCATCAGAATAATTGTATGGGTTGTAATCTCGTGCACGTGGTGAGGAGTGGGGAGGCATTGTGTTGAGTAATGATGTTTTGTTATCCAGAGCTGTCCGACCTGTATCGCTCACGCCACTTCCTGCTCGCATGTCCACTATTCCAGAAGCACTGCAAATCTGCAGGAGGAAGAATCACATGAGCATGTGAAATACACTCTTACACCTTTCCATTAACTAATTCATCACTAACAACATCACTAATTCATTTATGTAGTAAAAATGTACAAATTTCAAAAGGCTTAGAATTTTCAAACCAGCCCTCAAATAAGAAGTCTTAGTTCCCTAAATTTTGCTTTCCTTAAAAAAAAACCAAAATAAAAACAAAAAAGGGGAAAATATACATTGTCCCCAAAAAAATCATAAACCAGAAACAGTTGTATTTTATTTTACAAGTCCAATGCAAAATAATTAAAACCATGTTTAAACATATTCATATGTGGCAAGTTCAACAAAGCTTAAACCCCAAGTTCCATGGAAACAGAATTCTTAAATACTGTATGTAGCACTTAACAGCCCACAGGTTTTGTACACAATAAAATAAAACATGCAGAAAACCATATACTAGGGTGCAAACTTTTCAAAAGCTTAACTCCAGCTGTTCTGCAAGATCAGCTGGTTTTTAAACTGCTAACATGTTAAACAGACTGTGCTACTTAAAAACAGCATTTACGTTTTCAAAATGTGGTACAAGACTAGGAACATGTTTTTCTAAAGCTCTTAAGTAATTCAGGAGAAATGTCCAATTTAAGAATATAAACCTCCTGAACTCCTGAAAGAGATGCTTTCCCATCTGTACTCAGACACTGGCTTAGTTTGCTGAAACCAACATGAACTGAGTTTAAATACTCACCGAGTCGCCATCATCTTTTTTAGCATCTCGTTTTACAGGCTCATTCATATCTTCCTGACTACGAAAACTATGTCTTCAGAATTCATGTTTTCAGTGTCATAGTCAAATGCACTGTGGGCCACAGAGAAGGACAGGAATTAACATGGATTTATTTAATGATTTTTTATTTTTAAATGATTTTGTATTTTTAAATCACATTACCAGGCAAGTACAGGGACTGAGGAAATATTACTAAAATTATTACTCTTCTTGAAATACATTAAGAAAGTTGTCTCTTCACAATACAAAACTGTATTATGGTATGCCTTAGCAAGTGCACTACTGCTGACACAGAAAACACTGGAAGTAGCTAAGGGAAAAGCTACATTAGGTAACAGCATCTGCCTGAAGAAACAAACTTCTTTTGCTCTGTTTTATTCTGCTGAATGTGAAACAACCAGAATTTTTACACCATCCCCACACTCTGAAGGAAGTCTTAAAGGAGTGCTGATAAAACTCAACAGCAAGGAAACTGGTAAAAGCTAAAATACAAAGTCTACTTTGTTGACAACATCATTACTATAAAAAACATTTCTAAACTATTACTTCTTCAGTCTCTCCAATATTAAATTTGGTTTCATGACCGAGTGTGCTTGTTTTGGTTGGAATAGACTCAGCTTTACTCATAGTCACTGGCAGGGGGCTATGCATTGGATTTGTGCTGTAAGCAGGGTTGTTAACATAGGAGTGACCCCCCACTGGAAGCAGTGAATTCCTTGTCTGTCTGTTGCTTGCACATGCAGCTTTTGCTTTACCTAATTGTCTTTATCTCAGTTTTCTCTCTTCTGTATTTTGATTGTCCCCCATCTCTGACCACAGGGATATTGAGGAGCTGTGTGATGCTTAGTTGTCAGCTGGAGTTAAACCACAACATTACATGACACAGTCTAACACTTGTTAGAGAAGCACACTTTGGTTCATTCTCTTGCTAATCCACTTGCATTCTAAGATGTACAGCCCTTTCCCAAATCAGGCCAGCATGTCAGACCCTTCAGGGAGGCTGAGCAGTACACTGTCATTCTATGGAAGAAGGGAGATTATTTCTAAGCATCTGTCATGTAGTGCAAGATTTTGCCCATGCTTTCACTGTAGGGGTTACATCTTTGGACAATGTGTTATAAGCCTTAGATGTGGAATTGTAACACCACCAGCCTACATTACCTTGGTGACAAAGTGTTCTGTGATGTATTGGTTGGGGAAGTGAGAGGACTTGACCAGCTTGCTGGGGAGCGTGGAGTAGGTCTTGTTAAAGGACTTCCCATTGATCCCTGGAGGAGGAGAGATGAGAACAGATACTCTAGTATGACTAAATGATTCCCTTTTCACTTATTATATTAATTATTATATTTATTTTCTCAGAAAATAATGTTTCTCAGAAACATTTAAAGAGCTTCAAGTAAAGTCATGGATTGTCTAACCCCTTTCTAGTAACTTCAATCCCGTGTAACTTTGAAATTAGAAAGTACAAAATAAACTACATTTAGGAAGCACATTCAAACTTCTCAAGTCACTTGGAAGCAACACAGACTTAGAAATTAACTCTACAGGAAAAAGGCATCCCACAAAATGCTACTAAGATAGGCTTCTACACAGTCATTTCAGAAAGCATAGTAGCAGAAGTGTGGATACCTGACCACTGTTGCCTGTATTCCGGAGATGATTATGGAGAAGCTTTGTGGCTCCATCCTGAAATGTTTTTGGTAAAGCACCCAATAGCATTGTAAACTCTGGAGTGTTGAGTTCAAAAAGGGAAATCAGCACTGACTGTGCAGCCTAAAAAAAGAAAACACAAACTGAAGACATTAATTAGAGTTTCAAAGTAATTTTATCAGCAGAAGATACTACAATGAGTGGTAATCACAAAATGTGACTTAAGTCTTGATCAAACCTGAATAAAGATGTCAACAGATGTGAACAAAAGCAATTCATATTTACTGGTAAGCTGGAAGTTCTGATTTTGATAAATTCAGGCACACAATTATCATTGTAACAAGCAGTCTTTCAAAAATGTGCTTTTCAACCCCCCTAGCCTCATGTCCTTACTCAGAAAAAAAAAAAAAAAGAAAGAAGGAATTTGCAAAATGGCTTTAAGCATTTGGGAAGTTGAAAAAATTTAGAGAGAAACTAAACACACCAGGGCAGGAGCAAGCATGTGATCCTTTCTATTGAGTTCTGTATGTGGTAATTAGTTCGCAACACACTTGTAAAGGAACAGTTAGCACTGTAGAAATTAAAACAAACCAAACCAAACAAGATACCCTAATCTGGAATGAGACAATTGTGATCACAGCACTTGATACTCCTTACAATTTACCCTACAGCCAAGCTAGTTAGTTAACCTTGCCTCTGCTTCCCTTAACCTTTCTAAAAGGTAGGCAAACATAATGGGCAATGAAATTGAGCTGACTACATATTCTGAGGATGAAAACTGCGGAGTAGTTTCTACTGGACGTCACCTCCCGTACTCTCAATTTAATCAATTCATCTTTACCATCACCTTCATCCTACAGCATGTTTCACTTATGTTGGGATCTTTTTCACCTCAATAAAAAATTACACTCTACTGACAAAGCAACACTGTGAATTACACAATAGTCAGATTCCCTCTAATATAGAAATTGTTGATTGAATGACTTAAGCAATTTTTGTACAGCTTGCCAAAGATTCACCAGATAGTGTAACAGACCTGACAACATAGTAACTAAACTAACAAGTGCAAAATGGAGCTGGAGGAAGTTCTCCAAAATTACCTCTTTGTAGCAAAGGACTGTGGTTGTAAGATTAACCAACTATGTGTAGTTTATACAGCTCACCATCAAGGTCTGCCATGCACTGGAGAAAACCAGTGCCTTGTGCTAGAACAGAATCATAAGCAGCTTGCTTAACCACCAATAAACTCCAAGCAAGTAGTTTAGAAAATTCTTTCAGACATTTATTTCCCTCCTTTTGCTTCCAGAGCAATGAACTGTAGCATTTTTTAATTAGAAGTGGAAAGCCAAGGTATGAGCACACATACCTGCACACATCTTAGTATGAAGTTTAATGACAAAAATCCTAGCACGTCAGATTGCCACAAATTATCTTTGCATACTCGTGACTGGTTGTTTTCTTTAACTTTTATTTCCTTCTCCCCTTGATAACCTTCCCTTCAAGTCATCACCCTGAACGTCCTCTGTAATCTGTGTTTCTCCTGTCCTTGTCATTTTTAATGGTCAGTCCTTTAATCAAAATTGACACAAAGCAAAACCAAGACAAATCAAGCAGCTGAGCAGAGATTTGGGAATCACCGCTTTCATTTTACTGTCTGGTTATCCAGTCTCCACTCCTTAACACTGTGTCTATTTAAGCTGCTTTTGAGAGAACACAATAGGCAGTCCAGAATTGTATCAGGATACAAAATGCTACCATCAAGTCTGCCCAAAATGAAGCTCCGCTTAAAGTACCAAAATTGATACTCACTTGCAGAAGGTTTTCAATGCAACTAGCTATTTTCTCTCTTTCTTCCTTGCCAAAGAAACCCTGCATTTTAGAATATTTGGAGGTTTTTATTCTCTCCAGCATAAGGTCTCTCCTGAGATTTAAATTCACTCACATAGAGATCATCTTTAAAAGAGTGAAACAAGGATAAGAAGTATTTTTTTTTTGTATTGCTCTCTTCTTAAAGATTTCTAAGAATAGATTCAAACTCTTCCCAGAAGAATTTTAATCTTAGAAGAACTCAAAGTTCTGAAACAGAATTTTACCTTCTAGAAAGAAGGTAAGTCCCATGTCACTGAACTACATACACTAAGAGTGCCCAATTTCAGACTAATAAACTATGATTTTTCCTAATACTTAGCACTGGAACTGCTTTTGCTAAGGACAAAACCAAACCCATGATTTACACAGAAATTACTTAGAAAAAGCTTTTAATTTAAAGAAAAGTGCTAAGTGCTATAAAGCTTATTAAACGAAATAAAAAGTCTGTGATACCAGGTTGAGAAGACTGTTAAGAAAATTAAGCATTTTATACTATCAGAATAACTCTTTTGACTTCTTATTGGCAAAATTTTATTCTCAAGAGTTAAAGGATTTTGCAGTTAATTGCCTCAAAGAGCTATGTTATGGAAAGAAAAAATAAAATCTGAAAACTTACATAATTAAAGTGTTCCAGATGATTAAACTCACTAGTAATTCTTTCCATGATTCAGTTACTTACTGACATAAAAATGCTTATTAGAGTTATGAACCATCAGATAAGACAGCTTGCCACGTGTCTTAGTACTAAAACTTCACTGATTTAGAAGATAGTGATGCTTCAATTCTCCTCCTGTTTTATGGTCTTTTATATGTTACTAGAACATAACACCCAGGCAAGAAAAGTCCACTGGGTGCAATCTATTACTGTTTTCTCCAACTCATGAAGTTAGACAAGAAGTGAATGACTAAAACATTACTCCCAATATAAAAACTCTCTGATGGTTTTTATTATGTATTACAAGCATTCTAGATACCAAGGAGTCTAGTAAGTTTTTATTTTTGTTTTCTTCACATTGCAATTTGTAACATAGCTCCTACTGTTCACTCCTACATCCCTCCTAAACAAAGGAAGTTGCTCTTTCCAGAAAAGACAAAGCTGCCAAGATTCAAACTTAAATGAAAGTAGCAAAACAAACCTCAACAAATGAATTGTTGCAGCTTTTCAAACTGCAGAAATAGACAGAAAAAGAGAGAGAAGAGTTAGCTCTCTGTGTCATAGACACTTGCACTGAGGAACCATAAAAGGTATGACATTTTTGTAGTGTTAGCATGCTGGAAATAGTGTTAGGTTACAGCATGACCTGTAACCAAAACAATCAAAACAACAAAACTATTCCATGAAACTGCAAATAAAATTTAAAAAAAATTTCTGCCTTCTACAAATTGAAATCCTTTCCAAAGACTGCACCAGTATAGTCTTACGGTTATTTAGTACCCCTGCTGTACCTAGGCAGCTCACAAATGTTAATTTTCACATCATTATGTGGAAAAGGGAGATTTGCACTGAAGTGCAGCATTACAGGAATAAGCCCATGATACTACCTTATCAATGCATTAACTTCCTTTGTCCATGGTTCTATCAAGGTAGCTATCTACCTACCTGTTGTTAAAAATAAAGGACTCTAGAGAATCCAGCAGAGATTAGACTGAGTTTGCTATCAAATTTACCACACACTCCTTTTACAAATGTGCTATTTAGTATCACAGGGGGTAGTCTCTGAAATAATATTAAAAGTGTACAGAAAATGGCCACTAAAGAGATTATGGTACTAGATACTACTTGTAATGAAGCATGATAAATTATGAAACAGAATCTCAACATACTAACATATATAAAAACACAACCGTAATGGAGAATTCCAAGATGTTAATTTAATTTTTTTACTTAAATATTCTTAATTACCTGGAATGCTTTGCAATTCTAAGGACACATTAACAAACATACCTTCCTAACATCTGAGCTTTTAGGTTCTGTGGTCCAGGTGATGATTCGAGACACTGCTAACCTAGTTTCACTTGAATTTACAAAGTCTCCTGGATCCATCTGCTGCGCAAGAGTTTCTATATATTTTAGGATTGCAACTTTGACCTGCAAAGAGAAACAGAGTCAGGTGGGCAATAAAAATGGTGTGCTGCAAGAAGTGAGCTCACAGAGTAGAATGTTCATTCCCTAAAATAAAGATCTTTTTTTCTAATTAAACTATACATATTTTGAGCATTAATATAATTTTTTTGCAATAAAACAATTTACAAATAGATTTAACATTTGAAGAAGGTTATTCCACAGAAATTCAAATACTCATACATAGATTACATTTCACTGCTAGCAAATAAAAGACATAAATCATTCCATATGCAGAAGCTTATATTTAAAAAAAAAGAAATTAAGAAAAGATTAATTCAGAATTATTAAGAAAGTCTTTCAAGTACTAAAACGGAAAATGAACATCATCTGATGAACCAATGATCACGTCTTACTAGCTCCTACCAGATAGTTAACACTCAGTGTTTTTTCATAAAACATCAGGTTGAGCAGTCACAGTCTCTGGAAATGAGCCACAGGAATCTTTCCATTAAATACTAGAAATGTATGGAATGGTATTTCTAGGAAATACTTAAGATGGGTCACAGATGCACACTTTGTTTGAATATATTTAGATGACAGGGACATGGATTTACCAAGAGGACAGAAAACCTCCTGTACTCCCTTCATTTATCTGATCATTCTCTTCCTCCACAAACTTGTTTTAGTCCTTATGCAGAATCCCTTTTGCAGAATGTTTTGTACATCCCAGACTGCAGCCTCCCACTAGTTTCTCCAATACTGCACCACTGCAGTTTTGGGCAAAGGGCTATTACGCCTGTATATGTCTAAAATATTTACTTCCTCAGCTCATTTACTGCCTCAGAAATTTGTCAGCAAATCTGTCAATGGAAGTTGTGGACATTTATTTAGAACATCTATCAGATTTTTCAGCTTTTATTTCCACTAGTAATTATAGCGAACCAAAAATACCTACCAGGAGGAAGAGACCTACGTCCATCATAACCAGAGAGAAAAAGAGTTCTGAGTGTGTTTCTGGTTGTTCACAGCTTGTAGTACAACAGTTCTGAGCAAAGCTATTTAGAAATTTCTCTTGGTCATGAAACTTGCAAGCTATTAAAAACTCAAGATACAGTGGCACACAAATGAGGATTAATAATGAATACTTGATTTTCAAAGCAGCTGCTAAAGCTCAACTTCTCTGAAGTTATACCAAGCAGCAGCTGAAGGCTTTCATCTTATGCAGATCAATATCCACAAATGCATACTATTTGCTAGCTATTTTCCTAGGAAAAAAAACAAACCTTGAACATCTCTGCAGCAAAAAACCTTAGGCCACATGGCTCTCCCAATTCAAAGCAATAGCTGAAACTTCTAGATTACGTAGGGAAACCATTGTGACACCACTACATTTGACTGTTGAGGATTTAAATAAATCTAATGTAAGACTTGAAAAGGTTGCTGTTAAGGACTGTAACACCTAGAACACCCAGAGGCATTTCTTCCAGCGAAGAGACTCTGAAGCACTGTATCTAAGAGAGCATGATTATTTAGTGTTTGAATTGCTTTCTGAGGGACTTGCACAGACATCTGCAAAGACAGAGGCTCTCAGACAGAACAGCACTGAACAGAAGGAGTTCTTACTAATAGAGCTTTTCACAGTGGGACAGATTCCCAAAGTTAAACTTTACAGCTATTTGAAAAAAAACCCATTTTTTACTAATTGCTTTTGAAATAAGAAATTCTGGAAGGGCTACACCTTTCTGTGGTCAGATACCATGAGCCGGAATTATTACAGATTAAAAACCCCATGCTGAAATAAAACTCTGTAAGAGCAGCAAATCTACTTCAGAAGTATCTTTGCCAATATTTCCCCCAGCTAGGTACAGAGATGAAATTTAGAAATAGAAAGGCTTCAACAATCTATTTCAGTCTTCGACAATCCCTTTAATCTCTCAGAGAGAAAAATTTTTGGACTGCAATGAAAGTACCTCCAGAATTCTTACAATTAGTATTTGCTGTTAAGTTGAAACCACTCTCTGTGAAGTTGTTCAATACTGTCACTTTCAGATTGTCACATCCCAGGCATCAGTCTCTAAGTTACTAAATACTTAGAAGTGAGTGCCTGTGCCATTATATAACCAGATGACTAAAATATACACAAAAGGTAAATTTTGGAGGGCTCTCTCATAGTTGTGAATTTGTGCTACTCAGGGATTTTTTAATCCAGAAACTTCAATACTGACTTTGGTTAAAAAAAAAATAAATCTTCTGGTCAACTGTGGCAAAAACCTTTGTCAACAAATTAGCATTTTCAAAGTAAAGAAGGATTCAGAAACTTGAACTTTGGTCACAATACTTAAATCAACTCCTCACTGAGACTGACTTGATATGAGACCAGGAAAAATGAAGGGATGATTGGTAGTGTATTTCAGGAAAATATCCATCCTTTGGAAACTGCCATGTTTTGCACCTGCAAAAATAAGCTAAATAGATTATATCCCACCTAGAACATTTGACTCCTATGCCCATCCAAATATTTGACCAAAACAGACACATACATCTGGCGCCTCTAAACTGTGTGTTAGCAATTCACCACACCTAAGTGTAAATTCACTGCAGAAATATGACAGATAGAGCACAGTACACGGAGCTGCATCCTCCATGGGTTAGGTCAATAGAATTCCAGTAGAATGGTTGGTTTTCTTACTGCCCAGCTATCCAAATCCACCCCCATGGCCACTCTAAAAGCTCAAGTTTTATTGTCTGAGACTTAGCTGTCTTTCTATGTGTAAGAATGATAATGACTGTTCACCCCAAAGGATCATGATTATTTATGACTATCATGTGAAAACCAGAGAACAGAAGAAGTAATTTGTAGAAGAGAATCGTTATGTGGCTCAAATTTCTCATCTACCATCTCTCCTCCTATCTGACTTTCTTTAGGGATGCTGAAAATCCTTTCTCTGACTTCTTCCTGTCACAGCGAATGCTGTTTCTCAGTATTCCTAGAACCAGATAATAATATATCAAAGAAAAAAAGCTCAAGACTTTAAGAACTGGAGTAGTCCTGTAGGATTATCTATTATTCTGTGGGTTTTGATCACACCAATTATTCAATTGATTGTATCAATTATTCTATCTGGGACCACTGAAGATGGGAATTAGGCAAAATACTCAATAACGTGGATATTAAATAGATACTCCTGATCTGTGGGCAATAACTTTACTGGTCTGAGGTCTGAATTTGTAGTTACCACATAAAAACGAAGTAGGGGGCAGATTCCACTTTCTTCTTGGAAAAAAACTTATTTTCTTTTAAACAGTTACATAATTTACTGTCCCAAAAATTCATTCAAAATACTCTTGATTTTGCTTCAAACTAACAGGTGTTCTTCTATGGAGGTAACTTTTACCAGCATCTTGATTTCAAAATTCTCACTCAAAATTATTTTCAGAATGTCTTCCCATCATGCGCTTCACATTTCTGAATTCCTTCTAGGCCATTTAGAGAAGAATTTTGAACTTAGTCCCAAACTCAGCCTAGTAGGAGTCCATGTCTCACTCCAAATCTACATTCTCAGCTTTGAAATGTGCTAGATACACCTTTAACAGCTACACTCTACCTTTTGGAAAATGGAACATCTCAACCATCAAATTCACCTTCCTGGGGAGGAAAACCAAGTAAAACAAAACCAATCTCAATTTGTTCCAAGGATTCATTTAAACAACAAACTGATTTTTACTACCTCATTTGCTGTCTTCAATAAATGACAGCAGTCCCTTTTTAACACAGCTCTACGAAGCAACAGTGGTCAACGTATCAACTGTCCTCAAAAGCTTAAAAATGTAAGTTTTACTGTATTGTAGACAAAAAAGGCATATTCATGTGACTTTAGGTTCAACATTACTCCAGAAAGGTCATATTCTTGTGCAGTATCAAACTGAGTAAAAATATTTCGTGCAGGATAGAGCAGAAAATGCCAGTTATCATATGCTTGTTATTTCCCCATTATCATCACTTATAAATCATAGGATTTGATGCATTTGTTTCTAAAATCAACACTCTTTGGAACTGCAAATGAACTACAGAATACATTTTTACTTTTCAGATGTTCTGGTAGGTCTATCAACTACAGATTCTTAGGTAAAAATGTGTGTAATTATAAAGCTACACACTGCTTTCAGAGAAGTAGAGTGTATCACATAAGGAGCTATTTTTTAATATAGTAACTCAAGTTCACATTAATATTAGAATAATTTAAATAACTCGAAGCCTGTTAGGCTGAACATAGGAAAAAATATATATATGAACTAGGGAAAAAAGTATGGGAAATCACAAACATAAAATTAGAAAAGACTTGACAGAGTGAGTTTGCATAACCAGCTTGATGTTAGGCAGCCATATTTTTTGTTGCTCATTTTTATTGTACTGTGTTTTTATTAGAACTCTCTTGCAGCAAACATTTTCACACTAGTGTCGTGTTTAAAACTGAGCATCTGCATGCTTAAAGTTTCCCGCAAAGGTTAGTAGCAGCATACAATGCATTCAAATAAAAATTACTGGTAACGCTGTAAGAGTTTCACATAGGGTTAAGAATAAAGACAGTAATTCAGACAAAAACCTTTGAGCTCCAAAAAGAGCGAAGTTGGTCCTGCAGTGCTGGCTTGACTGTCTGAAAGTTTATAAAAACAAAATCCACTAATTGAAAACCTTTTTTATTTTCTTTATTTTTACACAGAACAAAAATAACAATCCAAATTCAAAATTAAGACAACCAAATTTCCATTAATGATGATTTCTGCTTGCAAAGCAAGCCTAGAAAGTCTTACCTTCAGACTAGGTGTTTGGGTCTGGTCAACAGTAAATCTCATTAAAATACTGAACTGGAGGTCATTTGGAAAAGATTCCCTGTAAACAAACAAAATAATGTTATGTTACGTTAAATTTTCTGTTAAGAACTGTTGAGAGGCAGCAAATAAGCCTTCACCCTTCTCAGTAAAGCTCAAATTGCTACCAGTTGCCACTGTATCTGACCTTTCAGAAACATTTACCTAGTTAAGGTAATGTTAAAGACAAGATTTAAGAAATTCTTACTATGAAGCAATTGTAACTAGACTAGATAATGCAAGCAATGCAGAATTATATAATAATGATATGCTAGAATTCTGATTGTAAATCAGGCTATTAGTGAAGTCTGGGGAGAAGGAAGACAGAAAGCAGATACATTATTATCATAACTCCTTGAAAGTTAATGCTGATGCAGAGATGAATATTCCAGTGAAACTTATTACTGCAAAATAAAGAAGTTCAAATGCAATTTCTACATCACTGTACACAAGGCGAGACATCATACATGGCTCAGGTGCATATTCTGGAATCGGGTAAGTAGTATCATATTAAATTTTCAGCACTGAGGACTCAAACCCTTTCAATTAAGAGTCATTTTATGAAACCAAAATGGTGAAGCAACAAGGTTTAGTAAAGTTTCAAGGTCTGCCATGAGCTATGCATTTTTACAGAAATCAAACAGCACACCAAAAAAAATAAAAGCAGCAAAAACCTTGAAAATAGCTAAGAACTACGATGTTACTTTTTTAAGAGCTCATTACCTTGTGACATCAAGTGCCTTCTGAACTTTTGCTTGTACCGACCCAAGCAAATCAGCACCCATTTTTTTCAACAGCTGTGTCAGCAGTACAAACAGCCAGTCCTGCAGATCTTCTTTATGGACCTGGATGAAGTCGACCAGTGTCTCCAAAAACATACTGAACACCTAAAAAGCAGAAGAAGATGGAAAGAGGGTAGGATGGGGCAAAAGAGGAAACGACACTGACGTATGCCGAACTTACAAACGAAGAAAGCAGTAAGGGAATCAGAGGCAGAGAAAGGCAGTGTTTTGCAGCCAAGCGGGAAAAAAAAGAAAAAAAAGAAAGGAAAAGAAAGAAATCTGCCCTGCTTGTTCACTGGATTTTGATATAAGAGTACATTGGAAATGTTAGCCGACTTCTGTAGAAGTTTGACAATTAGATATTCCATGCAGTTTCGTCAAGAAAAGGAATGCTTACTGTGATGGCTGGCGCAACCTCAATTTTTCCAGTAAAACTTAATTTTTTACCCTTTCAAGCTCTTATCATTAAGTTGATTTGTCATATTCCTCAAAGACTACAAAAACACTTTCTCTTTAAAACAAAAAAAAGCTACTACAATTCTTTAGCAAAATTGTAGTTAATTGTAAATATCTGCATTACTAAATACTGCAAAATCATGACAGCTGGCCAATTCCTAAAATACTCATGGAACAGAACAAGCTTCTTCTACTATCGCAGGTATCCCAACACGAAATTATTCACCACAGCAGGGAAAAAAGCCACAATAGATTCCAGATTGGCAGGTGTTTAAAACACAGAAGTACTTGCGGTTTTTTGAAAACACAATATCCATTGTCTTCTTTTCAACAAATGTTGAAAAGACTGCATTAGGGAAAAAAAAAAAAAAGAACCCAAAACAAAACCAAAAGAACCAAAACCATGTATTTTTTTTATCAGACTCACACCAGGAAGAAGGGCTTTTTGGAGGGAAGGGGTCAAGGAGGGTGTGAAAAATAAGTAACTTTGGTTAAAGAGCTTTTTTAATATATCTCACTCATTTTAAGTTTTTTCCATACCTAAGACTGAAATCAGGATGTATACACTCTATACTTGTGTGGCCCATAAGCTTCCTGTTTCTCTGACAAGAAAAATGGGTGTTTGGTCTGAAAAAGGGTCCTTCACAACACATGGTCCAGCACAGAGCTGGGTACAGAAGTAGTGCTGTGGTGCAAGGAGGGTTGGGCAGATATTGCCTCCTGACTCTTTATGAGATGGGTGCAAGGCTAGAAGTGGCTGGTGCAGAGCAAGGGCTGGAACCTCACATCCTCCTGCAGCTGACCTGACTTGTCATTAGCCCAAATTCTGCTGCTTCTGTGAGAGTGGAAAACCCCAAAAATGCGATCACACCTCACACAGCTGGACAGACTAGGCCATGGAAGCAGACTTGCTTCCACAGCGCTGATTCAAGGGAGGAGGACGGAGCTGGCTGCTCGCCCCTCTTTGCTGAGGAAATTCAATCACTTTGCATGTTTATCATCAAGTCAGGGAAAGCAAATTCACACCATAAAGCGGACAAAATCCAAACAAGCATCTCTTAAAGAAGTGCCTCCAACTTTACACTAGAAATAAAAAACAAATTCAGATTAATTTGATCAAGAAAGGTTGGACCAGATCATCCTTGAGGTTCCCTTTTAACCAGGTATTTTATGATTCTTTCAGGATCTACAGGAGATGTGGGAAAATTTTTTAATAGATATCTTAAATACTGAAAATCTCTGTTAGAAACAAAACAATAGAAACCCCTGCTCAATATAAAGTCCATCAGGAATAGTTACTTTAATTAACTTCCCTTTTGGGATAAATTACATTAAAAATTGGGGAAAAAAAATTGCCAACTTCTGTGCTGTCTATGTAGATCTATATTCAAGTCTGAGGTTTAAAAATTACCCTGCCAGTAGTGGGACAAGACTTTTATGTACAGGACTGGAAGCATTTTCTGTCTCAGGCTAAACTGAAACAATACATAATTTTGTGGATTCACAAGCAGTAGCCACAGTTATAAGACAGAGGCAAAACCAAACCAATATGTATTTTCTGTATTGTAATACGAAGCCTTTGGCTTTCACAGCCCTGAAGTAAGAGGAAAATATACTTAGGCAAACAAACAAACAAATTCTGATGCTATAAAAGATTATATTGTGTGTGGGGGTGTGTCTCAAAATCCTTCAAACTGAACTACACAGCTCAGCAGAATTTAAACCTGCACCTGGCTTGAGTTTGCAGACACTGACACACATGGCTTTTCCATTTAAACACGGCAGGCCGAACAAACTGGCTACAAGCTCTGACTTGATGGAGTAATGTGGACTTAGTACGAGTCTTCAAACGTGAAGTGGCTTAAGCTGAAATCATTATAAAGTGAATTATGATTCACTACGGCAAAAGTACTCTGAAGATCCTGTGCTGATGTTTTAGCTGTTAAAAATACACATAACTGAGGACTCAGCTTTGTTTTCAAGCTTTGTTTTGTTTTAGATTTACCACAGAGAATGTCTAGAGAAAAATAAGTAGAGAAATTCTGTTGCATTTAAAAAAAAATACTAAACATATCATTTTGTCTCAGCATTAAGAATTTAAGAAGGCTGAAAGAGCATTTAAGGTAAAGGATGAATTTGGAATGAAAATGGAACTCAACCACCTATATGCTGAAGAATGTGTGTGGATACTGCAAAAATTGCAGTTTCTGTTTTTATGACGCAAACTAAAATTCTGAAATCAACTACCTGAGGTTGAAGTTCATAATAATTTGACAGTGGAAAAAAAATAAACAGATATGGAAATAATTATAAGTGATCTCTCTCTAAAGTGAATTATTTCAGATGTGCCAACCACCACAATATAAAGCAGGAATGCATAACCAAACAATGTCAGTTAATTAGTAGATAAAGCACATCTCGAAACTTTACCACACATTTTACTAATTGTTTATAGCATTTTATGATTGCAAAAGGCTTGACACTGCATGAACTCTTTGGGGAAGAAAAATAGAGAAAAGGGATTAATTGCACATTCATGCAAGTAAGGTTAGGCTTCCAACAAATATTGAACCAACTTACTCTCTAAAGAGAGTTCCAACACAGGGGACAGCATGCAAAACGAAACAAAAACAGAACAAAACAAAACAAAACAACAAAAAAGGGAAAAAGATAAAAACACACAAATTAGTGGCCATCAATACAAAGTTCCTGTATGGAATATAAACCAAAATAAAACAAAAAAGGTACTTCAAAACTTTTATGACAAATTTAAGTAATTTTATTGGGATACCAAATGTATTTTTAAAATAAGCACTTGGCATGTCCATTCTCCCATTTTCTCCTTCAAATATTATTACTCTCTTATTCAAAGTAACTCCCTCCATCCAGATATCATGTTAAAGTATACCTTATAAAACCCCACAAAAGTGATGACAGTAATTCCTACAGACACTTGACTAGAGTCTAAGATGAGATTTATGTAGACATATGTGTGTGATAAAAAAAAAAAAATAAATCACAGCTCATGAACTCATAATACTTAAAGGATTCTCCTAATAACATACTGAAAACTACTAATAGTTTTACAACACCAAAAAGCAGGCAAGGTTCCAGTGACTGGAACAGATGTACCACAGCTTACAACACAGGCCAAATTTTCAAACTTGAAGCTAAATTATTTCGTATCAGAGTGGCCAGTAAACAGAACAATCAACAAGAAGTAGTCAGTGTAGGATTTTTAAAGGCAAACGTATTTAAAAGGTAAAATGCTCTTCTGACATATAAAACTAAAGTTTGGAACATTTTCATTATCCTTCCCTGGCTCCCATGCTACACAAAAATCTCCACAGTAGCTCTGACATATGCATTGCTGCAATATTAATTACCACAGAACAAGCACAATTAAACCAAGCTGCTATTAACAATTTGGTCATTATTTCATTTAAAAAGCAAATATTCCAGCAATATTTCCATATTTAGCATTCTTTCCTATGCTTTGACTTTTCTTTTTATGTAATGTTTTCTTCTTTTTAGCTACTTGGTTTAGTCTTTTCTTCTGGATTTCTGCAGTATGTGATCAACTTTAACACCACGTTGCTGTCTGCAATGCAAGTTATTCCAAAACACATGGTGTCAGAGATGGCAGCTAAGTCATTTCTTTCAACAGGAAGAAGACACTAAGTTAACCTTTCAAGACATCTCATCACTCTGAATTTAATTTTCCATTGCTGCAATAAGGAAGATTTAAAAATACGTAAAATGTATTGCATAATGAAAGTAGTTTTTCAGGATTCTTCTGGGAAAAATCAATACTTCTGAAATAATACCCTGTTATGAATTTATCTTTATAATTTTATCAATTCCGAAGTACAGACACAAAGTGGGACATGTTATACTCAACATAAAAGATACCAAACAAGCCTATAATTAAAATATAATGTATTTTTTTTACAATATTGTATTTATTAGGCTCCTTACTTACCTGCATTCCTTCTGCTGAGAACTCGTGACATTTAATCAAGCTGTACTAGTAACCCACCTCCCACAAAAACTGTAAAAATACTATCATGCAAAGCAACTCACTTAAAAAATTTTTAATGGTCTTACAGAAGCATTATTTTCCTTGTCATATCATCCATACGGAGTCTTTACCTAAGTAAAACTGAATAAAACATCACATTTTCTTTTATACTAAAGTATAGTCTCCTTATGGAATATTAAAAAATTGATGTAAAAATTATTCACCAGTCTGAACTTCCAGCCCTGTCTACGGAAGTCATGGAAGGTATCGTAAGCTATGATAATACAAAATGTCCTGGAAAATAAATAAATGCACATTTGGCATAGTTTATCTGATTATGTATGATTTAGTCAGATAACTTCATTTGTAACTTAAATTACTGCAGAGCCTTTTGTTCCAATAGGGAAAATCTGTGCTTGTGTTGAAGTGGCCTCTGTAAACAACAACTTCTTAAAAACACAGATTTTGAGCTCAAACTGCTGAACTACTTCAATGCACTTTATATGACATTAACCTTCACTTTATTTCCATGATCCTGCAGAAAAAGGGGGCAAATTATCTTGTTCAAAACTTCAAATTAAATTAATTGAAATCTGATACCATTAACTACTTTTGCTTGTGAAATTTTACATATGCAAATATCACTGATGTAATTTATCATAACTGCCTTTCTTTTAATTTATGTTTTCAGACATTTCCTGAAATTAAGAAAAACCTACACTTACCTTACTGTGAGGATCAGCAAACATTCTTGTGAAGATCTCACACAATCTTTTCAACTCAACACGACTGCCAAAAAGACAACAATACATTAGTCAACTCCCCTGCTAGTTCTGCTAGAACACTAATGCATAGCAATCAGTGAAATCAAGAGTAAATACTGAATCAAATAATCTAGTAAATTAAGTAAAGGAAACCATTTTGTTCAAGACACAAATGTAATGTAAAAATGGGTAAAAATGTAATGACTTTCATCTAAAATGAGACTTTAAACTTAAAAATGTCTCTTTATATAAATATACAATAGTAGCCAGAAGTGAGAACAGCTTCCTTGTCCCTTCCCTCATCTTGCTCTCAAAGCCACACCCTTCCTTCCCGCTCCCCCTGCCTCCCAACAACATGAAACAAGACGTTTCTCCTATTAGTATGCCACCTTACCTTAGAGTTCTCTGGTTCTTTAGTAAGTTCTGCAGGCCTAGAAGGCCTTCTTTCCTCTCTGACCAGTTGGTGCTGGCACAGCGGTTCAGGACTTCAGCCACGTCCTCTGTCTGCCTCATGTACGTCGGTATGCTCCCATTCCTGGAGCTATAGGACCTTTCTGAACAGGCACTTGACGCATCGCTGTTGGCATCATCGTCTGAGTACATCCCATAGGATTCGTATCTCCTCCGCACGGGCTTCTTCTGTTGTACAGAGACGGCCCAGATCAGCACTGGTTCTCAAAGAGGTGACACAACATACCCACAATGGGTCGAAAGACCAACAGTTTAAGTAACTGGTGTGACCCCTACTCCCCGTAGTGACAAATGGCTCCGACCACACAGCAGGTCCAACCAAGCTAATGAAAATATTTTGAAGCATGGCTTACATAGTATTCCAAATATAAACCCAAAGCAAACGCAGAGAAGACATATATTTGATGAAACATTTAACTTCAGGTCTTCTTTCAAGAACCCATAAAATTGCATAATAGGGTGCCAAAAGACTGTTGCAAGTTAGTTATTTCACTTCATAGCTTTATATATGTTACAGAATTTAAGAATCAGAGGTCTGATTCAAAATTGTATTTTGACATTTTAACTCACTTTGCATCAATCATGTTAATAGCAAAATATTAAACTATTGAAGAAGAAAAAGTTTCTATACCTTAGTCCGTATGTCTCCTAAGAGCTGTTAGCAGTAAATTATTGAAAAGAAACAGAAATTGAGAACAGGAAGGTAAGGCATAGCAGCACTGTGATTAATAAACTCTCTGCCACTGGACAACATATAGTCTTACTGTAAATTTTGTTCTTAGCTCTCTGTGTCTGAATAGCATATCACACATTGTCAAGAAGTAGTTTGCTGAGCTTCCATTTCCAGGAAAGTATTACATATCATGTGTGGGTTGCTCACAAAGACTTCTCTGTCAAAATCTTTGTGTCTTATGCAGCGACACTTGAGCATGAACACATTAGCTTAACACATGCAGTCAATTGTTACTTCAGTACAAAACCTTGATTTGGACTATTTGTTTAATACCTAAATTTTGTCATTCCAAAAATTACAGACAATGTTCTACAAAAAAAACTGATTATGTAACGCAAAATCCCAAATCCCTTAAAACAAAAAGAAGCCAACAAAACAAAACACAACATAACAGAGGTCAGAGGGGGGAAAAAGTTATTTATCCTAAAATGAAAAAAAACACATACCTCTGCAAAACAGCTCTTGCCATTCAAACTTTGGAACTGAAGTTAGCATTTAAAAACTCAGTTTCATTAAATACTTAAAGAATCAGTAGTATAAGTGATCGTTTCCCCCTTAATTACCACTGCTATTTGCACAGGCTTTTCATTTTTAACCATGAATAATTCAAAGGATATCACAATACTAATCACAAACTAATCAATACAAGAGGTAACAAGCAAGGCTTATTGTCAACAGAACGAGCATACATATATGTGTAAGAGAATAACTGAAGGGAAAAATCAGAGATATTAAGTGTTTTGGAAAAGAAACACCATAAGGAAAAAAATAAAAGATTTCTCAATAAGTGAATCTGAAATGCCAAGGATGGTAGTAAAGTAAAAGACATAAAAATATGTAAAGATTTCCATTATTGCTGAGTTTTATACAGCAATATTCAAAACAGATCTTTGGCTTCACTAAACCATCACCACTAAAACTGGTCAAGTATTTTTCATCAAATAAAAAGGAGTAGCACAATCTGGAATATTTTTATTTTTATATTTATATCACATATGTCAGGACTCTACATTCTACCTTTTAAAAATACCATTATGAGTGAATCTTCATTCTGTGATAAAACAATAAGAGTGTTTATTACCAGATTTCCATCTACATGAAGCCATTTGTATAGGACAATGTGTACCATTTAGAGCATGGCAAGGAACCAGGCATGCAAGTACTACAAAAATAAAATGTTGCAGCTCTTGAACCTCCTTTGTAATGTCAGATTCTAGTTAAAATATACATACTGATTTTCCTCTAAAATTTCTAGCAGCATCATGATATTTTGGATCCAGGTAATGCAAAAACCAGTTTCACTGAAGAAGCTTTATTGCTTCAACAATGCAGGACACATTCAAGCCTCAAGAGCAGTCATTAGAAACATGACTTTCTCCTCAACTTCTATTCTTACTACGTAATTTGCACAGCAAATTTGAAAACGAGGAGGTTGCTAAAAGTACTGAAGTACTGAAGAGGTGCTTTGTGAAACACCTCTGTGGAGAGGACTATAGCACAGGCTTTCCAGTTACAACCAGAAAATTTCCATGTTCCATGGACTGTTGTTCTACCTATTCCAAAATCCAGACTGACTTCCAGTTTAAAAACCAGCATTCACCATTATGCTGAAAACTCTTTGCAAGTTTGTGATAACAGAAAGAGGAAAATGCACTTGACTTCACCATGACATCTTAGACAAGATATCATAGATATTCTGATCTCTATGCCAGTGAAGGCACACAAATTTTAAACTAATGTCAAGAAAAAAGAATTAACCAAGAAATCAGCAGTCATACTAAGAACATGACAGAGTTCTTCATATTTGGAAATTTTGTTTCTCTCTATTAAGTTATATCTGACTGTAATTTAGAGTCTAATTTGTAGTTTTTTACTAACTTTCACAATAACAGTTTTTCTTAAACCAGAGAAACAACCATTTCTTTAAAGCATTCTGGTAACTAGAAAACAGGTACTTAAAAATATTTAATGACATGCAAATAGTCTCCAACAATTGATAAAAATGTATCTTATTCACAGCATCAGTATTTCAAATTAACTGAGGATTTCAGCTTGCTCATGTAAATGCCAGAATAGCAAAATACATAATGTATTCAGTTTGGCTTACAGGGGCAGGAAGGCAGAGGAATCAAACATACCCTTTTAAAAAACAGTGTTGCTTAAAGAAAATGGCATAACTAGTTGTAACTTAGCGTAACATTTTGAAAACAAAGCAAGACAAAAACTAAATTTATGAGATACTACTTGCTGTGCTGGTTTGGGCTGGGCTATACTTAATTTTCTTCACAGTGGCTGGTGTGGGGGCTGTGGTTTGGATTTGTGCTGAACACATGGTTGATAATATAGAGAGATTTTGTTATTGCTGAGCAGCACTCACACTGAGACCTTTTCTGCTTTCCTACTGCAGTGCTGATGAGGAAGCTGGGGGTGCCTGGGAGGAGACACAGCCAATACAGGTGACCCAAACTGACCAGAGGGACATTCCAGACCATCTGACATCATGCTCAGTGTATAAAGTGGGGGGAAGAAGGAGGAAGAGGGGGATGTTTCAGGTGATGGTGCTTGTCTTCCCAAGCCATGCCTGCCCATGGGAAGCACTGAATCAATTCCTTGTTTGGCTCTTCCTGGGTGCATGGGTTTTGCTTTCCATATTAAACTGTCTTCTCTCAACCCACGAGTTTTCTGGCTTTTACTCTCCTGATTCTCTCTCTGACACCAGTGGTGGGGGAGAGAGAGAGTGGCTGTGTGGGGCTTGGCTGCTCAGCCATCATTTTCACTCTTCAGCATCAATCTCACCTGCTGTCAGACAGAAAACCCAGGCTTGTATGCAGCAGCTTTAGCTGTCATCCTTCCCAGCTCTAACAAGCCTTCAACCTATAAGTTTTTCTGGGTTTTGTGAGAAACTGCTTTCTAGTTCTACCTGCTCAAGTGGCTCCTTGGGCCACTCCAACACAACAGTTTAGCACTGTTTCCTGTCAACCATGAAAAAACCCTCGCTTCTCAGAAGATAAAACTTCTGTAAGGAATGAAAATTCCGATGCTTAGAGCTTCAGCAATAGTTTCTTTTTTTTTCTTTCCCGTAGAAGCCAGTAAAACAATAAATGACAAGTTCTTCTACATGCTTAATGTACAGGAAACTAAAACTTAAGGAGCCTGTAACCTACACAAGGTAAGTGTGAGATTCTTACCAAAGCATCTGCTACTGCCTCTTCCACGTCAGAACCTGTATTCAGAACTCGCATAGCGCTGACTGATGACGACAATCTACTCGACTGACTAATTCCAAAGCCAGTACCTGTTACAACAACAAAAATAAATACAAACAATTCAATCAGAATAGAAAGCTGGGATGTAAATATTACACTCACTTTTAAAAACCCAAGCAGAAGAGAAGCATTTGCTTAACATTTTTAATAAATTGTGTAGTGGATAAAATAACCATTTTCATTCTGAAGTCTTTAGTGGCACAGACAAAAGTAAAAATTCAAGTAAAAAGCCAGTCATCTACAAACATTCTGTCCCAACATCACATGTAAAAACTCCTACAAAACAATGGTTTTATTTGAAAGAAGTTTTGCTTTTTTTAAAAATTAGTGTCTTCTTCATTTTGGGTTTTTGTTTTCATTTAGAAAGAAAGCAAATACGATAGTAAGGCTATTGAGACTGTTGATTAGAAAGCTACATGCATAAAGAATGCTCTACAAATACTAAAAAAATGGAAAACTAAAAAAGTTCTTCTGCAAATAAAAAAATGTTAAGGAAAAAAGGATTAACATTGGAGTATGAGGGTGGAGACAAAATCTAGCAACATAAACACATCTATCTGGATTATTAAAACCACAAAACTCAAATTAATATAAATAATACTTTCTAAAACTGAACTATGAGAATAACCAAGTGGGTGGAGAAAAAAAAAAACCCAGGATGACTGCACAGATGACAGCAAAGGGTACTCATCCTTCACCTGTGGCCCCATAAGTATCAGGAGCGTAGAGGGCACCGGTGGATCTGGAGTGATGTCTGGAAGCTGCAATAACAGGATTAAATAAACCCTATCTATGACCATGGAATCAAAGTGCTGCAATAGCTGCTCAGCCGAACAAGAGAATATTTAAGCACAAGAAACTGAGTAGAAAACAGAAGCAAAAATCTTCAGAGAAGTTCTTTGATTATACCAAATATGATTATATAGGTTTATGTACACTGGACATTTCATGCATAATTTTTTTTTTAATTTACAAGATTAAGAGCAGGGTAAAAGCAAGTACGTTTAAGTTCAAAGAAGAAAAGGTGCACAGACACATATCCACACACTCACACACAAACAGAATCATCAGAAATACCTAAAGAGTTATCAGTGCACTGACACTGGTCTTGCACTGTGGACTTAACTAAATTCTGTATGCTCAAGTCAGAGCCAGAGCTCACATATCAAACATTATCTGCAAAATGTGCCTTCTGCACTAACCTGCTGTGTTGGCAGCTGACAATTTGTACACACTTGAATTCCTGCCTACATTGCAGACAACTCAATCTCAGTGAAAACTCACCACTATGTAAATAAAAGTTAAAATTATCCAGTTATAATTAAAAGCTTAACATAAGCCAGCCAATGCAATTAATAATTCTCATACCTACTATTCTATTTAAATAAATAAAATGTGAAATTGAAACATGTTAGTTACTGCAGCACATTAAGATTCTAGAAAGTTATGGAAACTGGAAACTGAAGATTCTTAAGGATTTCTGAATAAAACTGAGTACCCACTCCTTATGACACTGTTTTTTTAGTGATTCTGAAAAAATTGACTCACAGTTGCTAGTATTTTCTTTCTTAAAAACAATTTTTAAATTAAATACGTTTTTAAACAATTCAACTTTTTTCTTCAGTTCATTTAAGTTAGAATTTTATTGCCACATAAATAACAATTTTAACTTGAACCCAAACATCCAACCACAGTGGCAAAACCCTTAAAATTAATTAAATAAATAAATAAATAACTGTAAATACAAATATTTTACTCTTTCTAGATATATAAAATAGCATAAACAGAAACCAAATCAAATTAATTATCCTTTTCTCTGATTAACAAAGACCATTCAAGAGTCTGATTTGAATCATGTAGTGGTGACTTGGACCAAACGACATTTTGGGAAGGATCTTTTAACCTGAGTGCACTTCCACAATGAGCCTAAGTCCTGTAAAGATCCCAAAAACAACACTATGTCTTTCCACATTAAGTTCTCTACTCCTTACATAAAGTACAGTGATGTACTTAATTTCTCACTAATCCTACATGAAGATGTTTGGCAAGGGCATTTTAGCTTGGAATGAATGCTTCATGGAATACTTGGTTCTTTAGAAAGGGTGTCTCAGCACGGAAAAGCAGAGAGGACTGACAATGTCACAACACAGACATCACAGCTGACAGCTCTATTAAATACAAGCATTAATGGGATAAATAAATGCTTGTATTTAAATAAATACTTGTGTTTAACCATCCCCTTAATTTACATCAATAAGCCCCAAAAATTAAAGGTTCAACTGGAAACTAAAAATTCAAACTATAAGCAGGAAACTTGAAATGACTCTTGCCCCTACATACATTTGAAATATGCTGGACAAGTTTTTAAGACTATATATGGTGTGAAACATACCTCGTTCCAAAACATATTTTCAAGAACATTCTTTCTACCGCTCAAATTGCAGAAATTGTCAAGTAATTGCTTTCGCTGTTGCATTTTTTTAAAGGATGAATCAAAATAAGACTTTAAATGCATCGCCCTGAAAATTAAGCCCTCTGATAATGTTTTCACAGTTTTAGTTACTTTCCCATGTAAACGTAAGTTGTTTATCATGTTCATTCTAAGAAACATCTTTTGATGGATGTTTCGCATGACCATTGTGCTTGGAAAGGCGTTAACTTAATCATCCAATCTCTGGTCATTGTTGAGAATCTATAAATATTGGAGTCAGAGAATAAAGGGACAGGTTTTGTTCTGACACTGAGAGTGGTGGTGTGAATCATTTCATGTCCTTTAGCGACATAAATGGACTCACAATAAGATTATTTCTTAGCTAAAATATGGACATTATACTAGCCTGCTATCTACTATTGACTATATTTAACCAAAGTAGACACTTCTATATAAATTATAACTCAGTTGCTTCTTAATGGCTCTTATCTCCGAGTTTTTAACGTGATACTGAGATGAGAGATTACATAAACAATTCATACCAACGTATAGAGTGAAGCAATTATGTACCATTTAAGTCATTTTATACCCTAAAGGTGGATAAAAACAATTTTATTTTATTTGTGTTCATAAGTAAAAATTTCTGTGCTGACAGAAATGAGAGGAAATACAAGTTACATTCCCCTCTTCATCCCCATGTGAAACTGCCTCTAGCTAAACAAAGCTGAATTTACCTTATTTAATCTTTCACTTGTACCAACAAAACACTGAATGACATTTTATATCATTCAAATAAATTGTCATACCAAAAGGAATCTTTATTTATTCCCAGTATAATTTCCCCTTTTGTTTTTTTTTAAAACCAATGCTGGATTCCTATACATGTTTGTACATACAGCATTCTCTGTGCTATCAGATAATTCCACCTATTTCACTAGTACAGGGGTACTTGTTTTGATATCTGAATTGTAAAATGGAACTACAGAAATAAGAACAAAGCCTCCAGTGGCATCTATCCCAGCAACACATCTCATGCTATTGCCTAATACAGACTTAAAGCAGCAAGCACTTGACTAATTACAAAATGTAAATCTGATCTTGCATGCAATACAATTCAAACCAAGCTGTAAGGCAGAAGAAGAAGCACAAAGAGTTCTGAAAAACACCCTTGTTTTTAAAAGAACAGAAAGTACATGTGTGCTTCAACACAATCTTCCAGCTGTGTTTTAGAAAAAAAGATACAGGTTTCCTAATGGATCCTGCGTAACATCTACTTTTAGTATAATTTCCCAATTAAACAACATCTGGGCAAACTAGCGCTAGTTACTGAAACAGCTTTCATTCAATTAATCTGTACTCTCCCAATGAAACCATGGCTGGCAGGAAGCCCTAACATATGTCCAGTGCTAATTAGGAATACAGTTGGGTGCCTCAATTTGAGATAGAAAACAGAGATTTACTATTTTCAGACTATGTTTAGCAGATAGTATTATAAAGTCCTTAACTGTAAGCTACACTGAACAAACCAAATAAGAAGGATACATACTGAAGACTATTTCAGACAAAGGTAACATCAAAAAGAGATCTGTTTCAGATTCAGTTGTACAGACAAAGTTTGCTATTACCAAACAAGCAAAAAGAAAATCCCAGTCCACAAACCCAATATGTAAAAGCAATTTAAGCAAAATTTACTATTAACTTTGTAGTAACCTTGACAAGGATACATAGAGCCGAAAACCTTCCCTAATCTTTAACCAACATGTTAAGGTAATTATAAACTAATATTCTTATGCCGCACTGGTATCTCAGAAACAGATGGGTAATCTTGCAAAACCTTGCAATTTGTGTCATACCAATAAGCTGCTGACCATATAGCTAAGGGAACATAACTAAGTGCATTTTCTCCTTATACACTAAAATAATTCATTGACTAGGTAGAGAATTTTGAGCAACAGCTGACTCTGTAGTCAAGTACCCAAACGATGAGTGCTGCAGTGGTAAGAGAAACACGTAATTTCAAAAAACTGTCCAAAACCAGAAGAGGGGTGCCTTTTCAAAATGGCATCTAAATGCTGTGTATCACACACCTTTCTAGACTTGGTACTTCCCTAGCAAAGCCTGTATTTTTCCTGTGTGCAGCCCATTCACACATTGGTCAATTCTCCATCGGGGTAAGTGCGGGGAGAGCCAGAGGAAGGGAGCACACGGTGGCCAGCTACAAGCTAAATGAAGGAGGCACGGGTTCGTTAGGCGCACATAACGAAGGGCAGGGACAGCCATGCATGACAAGGGCTCCGAGTACTTACCGAGGGGTGGGAAAGAGCGGACAGGGCTCGTGTCCCTGCTACTTTCACGGCTGGCCTCCCTGCTGCAGCCCTGACTCACACTAGGCCGAGGAATGCGGCTGCCTCGCGCTAGTATGATTCAGGGAGCAGACAAACAGCGGCACAGAAGGGAGAAGACATAAGAAAAGTTGCAGTTTTAATGCAATTCTGTTTTGCAGTAAGATCAAAGACGCATTTCTAAGAAAAGACATTGATGATTATGTCGCATTTTAAGTCATAACCTTTTTTACAGACTGTTTATGTTGGATTAGTCTATGTGCAGTTCAATTAAATTATTTCTTTGCACAGCTTAAAGTGGAAATTTACTAACTCTTTACAGAATGGTTGGAAGACCCTATGGAAAGGATGGAGAAAAAAAACAAGCAACATTGAGCAATGACTCAGAATTTGTGCTCAAGATCAAGTTAATCAACAGTAGCACCAATGGAAAACCCCACAGCTTTCTAAAGAAGGAAAATAAAAATATTATGCAGCTAAGATAAAAATCAAAAATACAAAGGAATAACAGCATCAGTACCATTAAAAACAGCAGACGTTTTTCAATAACATTTTTGTTTGCAATAAGGTATAATCTAATTATACGGTGAGGCTGAAGACACATAACTTTCATTTTAGCATCACAGCACTTACACATGTACGCACACATACACGGAAGACATGAAGTAATGAAGAACGTATTTTCAAAACAGTATCACACTTTCATTCAAAGGATGTGGGTATTTTGGGCGAGAAGTGAAAAAAGAGAGGGAAGAAAGGGAGGTGAGGAAAAGAACAACTACAACATTCTGTAAAGAAAAACCTCAAATTTCAGCTTCAGGTTAAAACTGTCTTGCACATCAAAAACTCAGTCTCAGAAAACAGCCACATTCTAGGATGCATTCTATTTTTTTCATCCACCTATAACTAAATATCAGCTGTAGATATCCAGAACTTAGAATTAGAAGGGCTATAAAGAAACCAAGAGTTATTTGGTGATTCTTACCTACTGACAACCTAGAAGGACTAGCTTCTCTACTACATCCCTGACTTCGCGGGATTTTGCTCCGTTTTTGTGCAGCTGCAGGATTCACCAACACTCTCTGAACTCCTGTGCTCATAGTGGAAAGTGTGGTTGTTGTCAGAACTCTTCCGGGGGACCCAGATCTACTGCCAGCTGAAGGTAGAATAAAAAAATATTAACAACAGCACAGCTGACAAACAAACACGGTTAAAAAGAAAATAATACCTGAAGTTAGTAGGAAAGTGGTGATAGATTGAAATGATCAGGAAAAACTTAGAAGGTAAAAACATGAAATAGAATGCCTTGGTCCCAGTTCTTACAGTACTGCATACAAGGTAGTTAAAATTATCAATGCAAGGAAGCACTTGACATGGTATTCAGTACTACATAAGCTCAAGAAACCACAACTATGATTTCTGGACTTTTTGTCAAGAGTTCCACAGTCCCTAAACTGAATGCTGCTGTGTTAATTTTTTTTAAGCTATGTGGTCTCACTAATCACATTGTCTATTAATAAAGAAAAACAAACAAACAAACCTGTTATAAACTAAAGGGAGCAATTTTAGACTAGGACTTCAAAATTACCCCAGCTCATCCAATGCAACCAATGTCATAATTAAATAATGTGATTTTCCTAACATGTAAACTCTTCTCCTTTGCTTTTAAAAGCAAGGGGTCTTCAAGCACCATTCTGACATTAAATAAAATGTGACTGAGGACAACTAAAGTACTCATGTACATTTCTGTGGAGGTTACCCCACAAATTAGAGAAAATCTTCAGTAAATTTTAAACAAGCTAAAAAATTGGTTAAGACATATTTAAGCGTCTTAAATATCTGTCAGTTAAAACTGTATATTACAATGTACTACAGATGTTCAAGGTACTGTATTACTATCAGAAACTCTGGTCACTTAATCTTTAATTCTGGTATTTTATTTACAGAACATTTAAGTTCTTAACAAAGAATTCATTCTTCCCTAGTTGTAATTGATTTATATCACCAGCTGACATTAATCTATTGTTTCCAGCTGTAGAATTCAAGAAATATGACCAAATAAAAAGCAAAACAGTATTTCAACCAAAGACTAATTATTACTACTCAAAATTCATATGGATTTGAACCCCTTATTAACCGTTAAAATACAATCAGGTAACTGTATGACCACAGTGATGCTATCAGATTTACAGACAACATGCAACTTTTCAAGTGAATTTCATGGGTTACTTCTTATGAAGCACACTGGAAAAAAGATACAAGCTGACTAAAGCTTGACTATATGAGAAAAGAAACAAAATCTCAAACAAAATATGCTGGGTGGAAGAGAGAAACCTAAAAAAATGTACCATGCATATACTTTCAGATTCATTGTTTGAATTCAAACTTGGAATGATTATTTAGCAAAATCCTTTTTCAAACTATGGACCTATTCAGCAGAAATGATAAATAAAGTATTATACAGCCTGAAAGAAAACAAGCAGAACTTCTATAGCAAAAGAAGAATAAGCAAACCTATAAAAGTACTGTGATGTGCAAAAATTAAGGGTTTGACAGTCTCTTCATATCAGGGGATTTCAACTTAGATTACTTCAATAATATAATAATGTATAATAATATTTCAACTGATATTACTATGCCTTCTTCCTGTTTTGTATCGCTTTAAAAATAAAAGTACTGTATAAAGTTTTGCTGTGCTGCAGACTTGTACATTTTCTTCAACAGGCCAGAAATCTGAAAAAACTTACTCTTTTTACAATATTCAGAAGAAATGCAATCTCTTGAGCTAATGCTGTATTCAATCTTTCTATAGTCTGACCTGCAAAGCATACCACTGCAGCATAAATTAACTGAATGCAGCTAAATAGCCTGAAAACATTATGCTAGTAAGAGCATTGGCATACTCTTGTCAATATTAACACTACCAGCAGATCTAAATGAGCTGAATGATGCAAGATTACTAAAGCACTATTCCAAAACAACAAACCCTTCCCATCTCTCCTGCTTTCTACATAAGGATTACACCGAATTAAGTTATACGCAGCATATGGGAAAAAGCCAGCCAGAATTTCTGCTGAATAGGGTCCTTAAATGAGGTATGTCAAACAGGTGATCAAACAATGATGTGTACACGAATTCTGTAGACTCTTACCACCAATGGGGTTAGCAGACTGTGATCCTGAACAAGTGTAAAGGCAGGATTAGGGTAGGGATTTATAATCCATGAAGAGGGAGGGAGCAGAGCAGATTAAAAAATGAATGGTAAATGGAAATAAGAAAGCTTTAGTCATTTCACACAGGAAAAAAAAGCCACAAGGGGGTTATGCTAAAGCAGTGCTATTAAGTAGCTTCCACAATTGAAGAATTAAATTCAGATGCTATGTATAAAGCAGATGAAGCAAAGCTGCACAAGCAAATTACAATTCTTCAGCTTTCTAATCAACAACTCAACACTGAAGAATTAAATTTCAATTAAGCATGAAACTGTAGCCTGCATATTACTTCAAAAGAATATTACATTGCCAAAAAGGCTCAAGAAATTTGACAGCTGAACAAAAATTACACACAAGATCAAAACTTTGTTTTTGAGACACAACAGTAAAAGGAACTGAGCTGCAGGTGCGGTGGATGACCAAAACAAAAAAATCAAATTCACAATGGCACAACTGAAAAGACTTGCACAGAATTTTCCATTTTTCTCTTTAAAAGTAATCTTGAGTATAAAAGGACGAATTTACTTCCATTCAGAAATTCTCTGAATGTCGATTTTAATGCAATTTTAGCAGACCCTGTTGAATTACGTAACAATCAAACCAGAAAGAAGAGGAAAAAAATGTAACCATTTTTTCCCATAGGTAAGAATAAAATAACAAGGCATTTACTTTATGCTCACTTAAAAATAGAAGAGTAAAGGGCTTTTAAAACCCTAAAAAAATAATTTTTGTAAAATCATTCAAATTTGCAAGTCTTTCAATAAAATGATTTTTGAACAAAAGATAGCTGTAACCCAAAAATTAACAAAAGCATCTGTGCTACAGTGGTTTTTTAAAAAATAATAGCTGAAATCTAATATGAAGCTATTCTCTGATTATATAGGCTGGGGAACTAAAACAATCCCCCTGTATGGAAACATTAAGCATCACGCTTCACACAATGCTGTGAAAATTTTCAGTCACATAAAGAAGCATCACCCAAACAGCTGGCATACAGTGCCTGAGAATTCTCCTTCGCCTGTCCATTTGTATTTTCCCTGTTTATCTTCCTTAAAACATCTCAGAATTCTTGTTCTCCCCCACTGACAGGTTTTAATGAGCTACTTGAAGCAATCGGTTCTGAACAGAAGTAGTAATAAAAGGCTGTAAAGATGCATTCATGCATTTAATTTTCACACATCATCACATGTAGTCAGATCTAGTTATCTCAATATCAATTTATGTCTTTAGACATTAACACTGTGTAAAAATGAAAAAAAAAAAAGCCTGTCATTTTTAGTGAAAAAACTGGAAAGGCTTAAGTTTGCTTCTCTGAATATACAGTTATTTAATGTTATATGACAGTGATAATCATTAAAGTATTATATTGCTACCTAAATTTACCCCCTCCCCCAGACATTTACCAAACATCTTTACTTTTTAAGAATTTACTAAATCTATTCAAAGTACAAATGTATTTTCAAAAAGCTTAATTCCAAACTTTCCTAATACTAATGAAAAAACTGTTTCAGACACTGCTTATAGCTTTTCACAGAGGGGAAAAAGGGATTACAAGGAATTTTACCTTTCCTCCCTCTTAAACTATTCACATATTCTTTGCTTATGGTAAAGTGTAGCCATCTTTAAAGTAAGTTTTGTGGAACTTTTGTCCCAGCCAATAACAACTCATTTTCAGGTTCTCATTTCACAAATTCTTCTGGGATTAGAGAACTGTCAAAGCTCTTAAGGGAACTTCTACTGAATTTTAGTATGCTACCTTTCTCTGTTCATTGTTTGAAAGCTTTATTTCAGAGAACCTGCAAACACTGGATCAGGTTTGATCCAAATGTACTTGTGAAATTATATATATATATATATATATAATTATAAAGCTGTACTTGCGAATAATGAAATTATGGAAAACTGAATGGCAAGTACTCTAAAAGGAAAAAAACTACCTGCTTTTTAAATTTCTAAAATCCATCTGTTTACAACAGATGCAGTCATCGCTATAAAGACAATGTTTCTGCCATTAAATGCACTATTAAAGGGTTGTATTAAAAAAAGTAGATATGGTTAGTGATAGCACAATAACTATTGAAAATTTTAAACCTGGTAAAATTTACTGGTTTAGAACATTAGATCTGACAATTTATATAAGTGAGAATTTAATTTTAATTTTATCATGTATTTGTCTTCCTTTCATTAATTTAGTTGCATTTCACTTAATTAGACAAATATAAGAATCTGAAAATGCTACTNGGGTGGATGAGGGGCTCTGCCGCGGCTGACCCCGCGTTCCGGCCCCGCGTCCCGGCCCCGGCGTGCAGCGAGGGGCGGGCGGGAGGTCGGGTGCCGAGGAGGGGCGAGATGTGCCCGTGCGGAACGCATGGGAGGCAGCTCCGCTTGGAAAGCCCCGTTCATGTTTGCGTTTGTGTTCCGGCTTGTTTTGTTATTGTTTGAGAAATTCATGAATTGTTTGCTTTCGGTCAAGTCCAGCCATTAACTCACCACTCCAAATCACCGCTAAGCCATGTCCCTAAGCACCACATCTTCAAGAATTTTAAATACCTCCGGGGTCAATGACTCAAACACTTCCTTGGGTAGCCTGTTCTCTGCTTGACCACCCTTTCTGTGAAATTATGCATCCTAGTATCCAGTTGAAACCTCTCCTGGCGCAAATCGAGGCCTTTTCCTCTTGACCCATCACTTGTTCCTTAGGGGAAGAGGCCAACCCCCACCTTGGTACATCCTCCTTTCAGGGAAGTGAGAGCAATAAGGTCTCCCCTGAGTCCTTTTCTCCAGGCTGAATATCCCGAGCTCCCTCAGTCTCTTCTCATCAGCCTTGTGCTCCAGACCCTTCATCAGCTCCTTTGCCCTTCTCTGGACAGGCTCCAGCACTTCAATGTCTCTCCTGTAGAGAGGGGCCCAAAACTGCACATGGGATTTGAGGTGTGGCCTCACCAGTGCCAAGTACAGGGGGTCTATCACTGCCCTGCTCCTGCTGGCCACACTATTGCTGATACAGGACAGGATGCCATTGGCCTTTTTGGCCACCTGGGCACAGCTAGCTCATGTTCTACTGCTGTTAGAGATGCAGCACCTCCAGATCCTTTTCCACATGGCAGCTTTCCAACCAGTCTTCCCTCAGCCTGTAGTGCTGCATGGGGTTGTGGTCACCCAAGGGCAGGACCTGGCACTTCATCTTGTTGACCTTCATACCATTCGCCTCAGCCCATCAATCTAGCCTGTCCAGATCCCTCTGCAGAGCCTTCCTACCCTCCAGCAGATCAATGCTCCTGCCCAACTTGGTGTCACCTGCAAACTGAATAAGGCTGCACTCAATCCTCTCATCCAGATCATGGATAAAGGTATTAAACAGAACTCTGTGATTGAAATTGCTTTCTTGGTTTTTTGGTTTCTGTAGTTTGGATGCTAAATCTACGAGTATCCAGGTAGTAGTTAAAGAAGGTGGTCTGAAGTTCATCCAGGTTCAAGATAACGGCTGTGGTATCAGAGTAAGTAAACAAAGTTGACAGGTTTATGCTGCTGTTTAATACTACCTTTTAAAAATATTTCAATTTATAAGTGTGTCTGATCTTGAAAAAACTTGTAAAGTTACTGTTGCTTGTCCCTTTCACATAGAAAGAAGATCTGGACATTGTATGTGAGAGATTTACTACGAGTAAACTGCAAAAATTTGAAGACTTGGCTAGTATTTCTACATATGGTTTTAGGGGTGAGGTAAGCTATTCATCAAGGTTTTGAAGCTGTTCATTGTTGTTATTCTGCTGTACTGAGCTGTACATAGTATCACAATTCCAGTACTCTGTGCAGAAGCTTCTGTTTTCTGAGAGAGAGAGTCTGCTATGCGAATATAGTTCAAAATACATTTCAGTGTCTTTCAAGATTAGGTGGATGCCTATAGGGAGGTTTATATTCTTCTTGTTTTCTGGAATAAGATTTTTTTTTTAAACTGAAACAAAGCCTGCCTTCTCAAATGATGGTTCAGGAATGTACAGGTAAAAGATGGTGGAAGGTGAATCTTCGATGTCAGACATTTGTCTAAATACCACACTTAAAACTAAATGTGCAAAATGTACAGTGGTCTTCCTTTGTTTTTGCTGTTAGACAAAGTTAGTTTTGCTGACCCCTCAGATATGCTAGTTCTTCATACTCTCGTGGATTCTATATAAACTCTGGAAGTGCAGTCACGGATGAGTTTAGCTTTCCCCTCTGGATGAACAAGGTATATGTGTCCTGTGCTCAGATACATAGATCCTCACACGCTTGAGAGTAGAGATTGCTTGGGTCCTCTCCTTACACACTTTAAACATATTCATCTTCACAGCCAGTGGAGTCTGGTCCTGAGTCTGGCTTTGTCTGTGTAGAAATGTCCTTTGAGTTTTCCAGGAAAACCATTGTGACCTTACTTTGTAATATTACTTATAGTCAAGAGAAAGACTTGGGCAGGAGTGTGAGAGTAACAGCTAAAACCTTCCAGCTGGCTTCTAGTTAACACAAAAAAGAAAAAGGCACAACTTTAATAATTTTGCAAATTTCTTTTAATTATGCTATATAGTTAACCACTTGCATCATCAGAAATAGAGAAATATTAGGGAAGCCAGAAGGATCTCCTGGATAAAATTACTGGAAGTTTAGTATTTTAGATACTAGAATTTGTTTAAGCTTTACTGACCTGCAATTTCCTTGTAAGGATTTTTATTACTTGCAAGGGGTATATTGAAATTTAATGATGGTGTTTAAAGTGTGGACATGCCTCAGCATTCTTCAGAGCAAGGTTTACAAACATGCTTTCTCTTTTCCTAGGCCTTGGCTAGCATCAGTCATGTTGCCCATGTTACAGTAACAACTAAAACAGCCGATGCAAAGTGTGCATTCAGGTATGCTACCTATTGTCCAGATGACTTCTGCTGCATGCAATAGCAAACAGATGTATCAATTTCAGAGCTCCTGTTACAGAGGAGGGTGTGGTAAGGGCA